CTAAAATTTTAGAACCTTAAAATTTTATAACAATAAGGGGCATTCCAAAAAAATTGGAATATAATCTAAGAAACAGCAATTTTAAGAAGACACCAACGAAAATACAAAAGGAGCTACATTTACAATAAACTTGTCCAAGTCGAGGCAATCAACGATTTCATTAAAACCGCTTTCTCCTTATAAACAGTCGTAATACCTCGATATGAAATTATTCCAACGGCTGGAAGAGCCGGCGAATAATTAAGGGGAAAGGAAGCGACTTGGCTCTGTTCGAAGGGGAACAATGCCGAAGAGTAAGAGCACAAAGTCCAAGGAAAAGTCAGTTCATCCCCGTAGTTCGCCCAAGGCTTTTCTTTCAACGAAACTCCGACGATGCTGGAGAAAATTCTAGCCAACTCATCGGTTGGTTCTACCTGATACAAACTCCACGGGAGTTTAACAATAGTCGTTTAACCGAACTCGACGAATATATTCGTCGAGTCATTTGATCCTAGCCAAAGACAGATACTTGTGTTCGCGCACCTGTTTCGTTCACACAAAAACCCTAATCTTGACCTATTTGTCGGTATTGTTCGACAATTTCCATCGGAAGGGCAGAAAAGTCTTCCAAACTATTCAAAAGGGAAACGAATGAATAACGAAGGACGTCAGGGAACTCTTTGGGAGGTCCTCCAACTTCCAACGTCACGGATGTTAGAATAAATTAGCTGGGTTAATGGATAATAATCGTTCCTTCTCAAAGATCGAGCATCCCTGGGAAGACGAATCGTTCGCGATTAAGGAAACGAAACGCAATACTACCCGCGATCCTGGATAATACTTAAGACGTCTGCTGATCCTAGAACACCCTTTCATATCCTGTCCAACGTGTCCGAGCATTTGTTAGCCTCTTAAACCCTGACAAACTACCTGGAGAACCAGTCGCAGAGGATTTCTCGCGAATCGCATCAGTTTTCCTCTTAACGTACCCTGTGCCCTAAGGAAGTCGATTAAACGATAGAAACAAGAATTCTAACGACTTCTTTTTTGTGATACGTTAGACTCTCGATATATTGCATATTCGTGAACTGGGGATGCAAAAGTGGAAAATTTGTCAAACTTCTAAGTTTCCACTTCAAATGCTATGATGATGTAGTGGGAGTAGGATGCTTCAAAGTGAAATCTAACGAGAAAATTTTACGAGTGGAGCCGAGGGACCTTTAAATTCTTTTAGAATTTATCAGTTATCCTTCTGTCGTGCGAATCAATCGGCACGGACTCTCGGCCCCGTAAAAGCCGAAGTGGCACGTTTTACGAGATAATGAACCTGGGGACCAGGTAAAGAAGACCTCTCGCAGCTGGTCGTCATCGAAGGTTTGCATCAGGTAAGCGCGACAGGGAAGATCGAACCGATAGGAAGACGGTCAGAGTAAAAACCTGCAGGGTCAAGGCTGTTTCCTGTTCGCTGCCGGATGCTCTACGTCATCGGTTCGCTCCTTTTAACAGCTTGTTCGACACGCTTTTTACGATCGCGTTAACGCACACTGCCCCCGATATCGTGCGAGAGGAGGAACGCTTTTGAGATTACTCGGGGGACAAATGAAAGCAGAGCGTGCTGATTGGTTCGGATTAGTTGAAACGGTTTCCGTGGCGCAAACTACTCTAACGTTAGTCAATTGATCGCTCTGTCTGGGAACCGTCGACGTCTCGTCGTTAACGCAGAGCAGACTAGGAACAAGACGTATAGCAGGGATTACCGTCATCCTGGGCTAACAACGTCCATCCTTCCGTGGATGCATTTTCAACTTGGATGTAGTGTCTTAAGTGGACCCCAATTTTCATTCGAGTAAAACGAACGGGAGGATTTGAGGAGGGGTGGAAAACTCGAGGGAGGAATTATCGAAAATGTTTCTTGCAAATGGACATTGCGCTAAAAGTTATTCTCAGCTAATTATCTTAATTAATCTCAGTTATTTTAGCGTAATCTTTAGGATAGGTGTTCGTTGGAGAGTAAAACTTGCGAAAGTAACTCTCGATTTCTTGCAAGTGTATATTCAGCTGAAAGTTAATAATTATTTTTAATTTATTGTCTACTTGTAAGAAATACTATCGAGAGCTACTCGCGCGAGTTAAACCTACTCTCGACCAGGTATCTCCCTTTGCTCCCATTTCTCTATAAATCTATACCGAGCAAAATATAATGAGCTGGAAGTGATTATATAATTATTAGTCTACAGGGTGACTCTCACTCACTATCGAGAGCTACTCGCGCGAGTTGCACTCTCAAACAAATATTTACCTGCTTTATAAAATCTATACCGAGGAAAATATAATAAACTGAAAGTGATTGTTAGTCTACAGGGTGACTCTCACTCACTATCGAGAGCTACTCGCGCGAGTTGCACTGTCAACCAAATATCTACCTCCTCTATAAAATCTATACCGAGTTTAAAGTGGTTATTAGTCTACCGAGAGTGACTCTCAGCTTATTGTCCACTCGCAAGAAATACTATCGAGAGTTACTCGCGCGAGTTTCACTCTCAACCAAATATCTACCTCCCCTATAAAATCTATACCGAGGAAAAAAATATACCGAGCTGAAAGTGATTATTAGTCTTCCGAGAGTGACTCTCAGCTTAGTGTCCACTCGCAAGAAATACTATCGAGAGCTACTCGCGCGAGTTAGACCTACTCCCTTTGCTCCCATTTCTCTATAAATCTATACCGAGGAAAATATATTGAGTTGAAAGTGATTATTAGTCCACCGAGAGTGACTCTCAGCTATCGAGAGCTACTCGCGCGAGTTACTCTCAACCAAATATCTACCTCCTATATAAAATCTGTACCGAGGAAAATACTCGAAACTCGCGTTCCCTCTCGGAAACTTCGCCATCTCTGATTTATCTTCTCGATCGTTTTTCACGCTCGCGTATAAACACTGGCGGGTTTTATCGGTGAGATGAAAGGAGAAACGTGCTGGTTTCGCGGCAGATAAAGAGCTGGGAAGAGCCGGAGGTAGCGGAGAGCCAGTGAACGGGTTGTACACGTAGGTAAAGTGAAAAAAAGGAACGCTTCGAAACGCTTCGTTTCACGTTTTATCGCGACGACTGTATCTAGTGTACATACGCGAACGGATGCGCGCGTTTATATCAACTTTGTACCAACTTCCTTGCGACTTAACCGACTTCGAAGTAACGACGCCTCGATTATTTTTTTTCCGATGGATAATCGCGACGGAAATAATGCCGGTCTGGTTGTAAACAATGAACCCCCGCGGTAAATGGTGAAGGAAACAAAAATCATACGGAAGAATATTTAACGCGTTCGTTAAGTTTGCTTTTCGTTAATTGATCGCGCGGAAATAATGGGCATTGTTATTTTAGTAATTAAATCTATGTTGTTGATTAGGTAAATGATTGAAAATGGTTGATCAGTTGATTAGTTAGATTGATCATTTAAATCTATGTTGATTAGTAATTAAATCTGTATCTATGACCCATTTTTATTATTCTCCTAACAAAACAATTTGTTTAGAGTAAATCTATCCCTTCTGGTAAATAAGATTGTGTTAGCAAAGAGTATCGAGTAAATATAATTGACAAGAGTACGTGGAAAAACGATTGCGTTACGGTTAAGATGAGAATATCGCATGTGATGCATGTTTTTATCGACAGAGTCAAGATGAGTACATTGACTGTCTTAAGAATATGTATCCTCGATATAAAAGATGAAGAAGAAATAGATTAACCCTGGAACAGCGAAGCCAAACTTACAAAATATATAGTAGGATATTAACCTGAAGTCAGATGTATCATTTTTTAGACGAAAGAGCTTCGTATAGCGAAGAAATAATGTTTAAAGGTACAGTATGAAATGTAGGAATGAAATTGATCGGGGCTCTCTCCTTGGTCCGTCATCCAAGGGTTTCGATAAAGCTCGTGTTTTACAACAAAAAATATGTTACATCATAACATTTGTAGTGCAGTAATACTACTCGTTCTTTGTAAATCATGTTGATATCGTAAATTTTTATTATCTGGTAGATCCGAGTAAATATGCTTTCGAAATTGAACGTATTTGATTGCATTACCCGATAACGTCAGAGAAAGGCTCTATGTATTTATATCTGGCTGATAAACGAAGCCCCCCAGCTATGCACTGCTGGGAACCAATAAATAAAACTGTTATCTATTCTGGTTAATAACGTCTAAATTTTAAGTCGAACAGTGGTAAAGTATTATTTTATTACTATGGAAACTCAAAAGTTAACTATTCTCATGAAAAACTGTAACCGGAAAAGTGTTTATTCTCATTCATCACGTTTTCGACACTTAGCCGCGTGTGTATACATGAACACATTTAAGGTTAACTCGAGCGTGTCTCGTGTGTCGAGTTTCGACGTGAGAACTTCCTAGAATTTTTCTTTCCCTTCGTATTTCCCCTATTCGCTAGCCCCTTCGCGAAGAAACACTGCCCATAATTCATCGGGCATAAATATTTCGTTGAACATGTGCCTTTGTAAATCACTTCGACGAAATGTCGCGAGATAAATCACGAATTGCGAGGATTTATAAGTAAAATAGTCCCAATTTTGAGTTTCAATTATTTCTATTCTCTTTTTTATTCAATTGATATCATTGTTTTACCGCATTAGCAAATTAACCTGTGTTAAATTTGAATTATAGGAAACCGTAGTTTCACTTGAGAATCTCTCGTTCTAAGTGACGCGCACTGCGTCACTGGTCAATTGAGCGACTAAACGGTTCGGAATACAGTTATAAAATTTGTCAAATCTCATTAATTCTATCTTAAATTGTTTCGATTTTAACTATTTTTATGCATTTATCAACGACACTCAATGGTAATTCAATATTAATGTTGTAAATCTTACAAGTACACTGTTACTTTGAAACTTTTGAAAGTGATAACTTTGCAGTAAATTATGACACGGAATTCTCCAAATTGAAACTCAAAAATGTGACGTAAGAAATTAGAAACAAGATATTTAAACAAGTACTTACATGAAATCGCCTCCTTGGGAATATCACTGACAGGAAAGCCCTGAGATTCGAAGTACGGTCTGACAGCGTCACATTTTAATCCGGCGCGTACCGTAGTCGTCCCGACGCTCAGGATCAGGATAACACACAACATCGACAGCATACCACTCATTATTCTTCTTTTTTAAAAGCACTTACGATACACTCACGAATTAACGCGACAGATACGCGGAACGTGGCACTTGTTATATTTGTACATTCGCGGAAAAATAAATTTATAATTGCGAATTAGTTCGGCAAGCACGCGTGATAGTTCGAAATAAACGACGATATTCACGAAAAAGTAGAGAAAATTGAAAAGAAACGTCAAAACTATCTGTAACAGAGGAAGCGACACGAAACGATGCTTCCCCTCTGCTGGCTCGAGACGCACTAGCCGACTCGTGGAAGGAAGCGCGTGCCGGTACTGACGCGCATGCGCACAAACGAAAATCTGTCACGCGCTAAACCAGTTGCCATGCGCGAAGCGGTAAATTTATTTATTTGATTTTATTTATAAAAATTGATTTATAGGTTCGAAAAATTACGTAAATTTTTAGGGTACAAGATTAAATACGCGTAAGGTAGTTTCAAATATTTTTAATGCAACTTATTATTTCGTACCTTACATCTCTAAACGTTTAAAAAAAAAATAAAATTATTGGACGGAATTAACAGTCTATTAATATTTGTTATAATTTAGAATAAAAATAATTAATACTGATTCGATTCATGTAAATGCTCAAATAAGTATGATACTCACGAAAAAAAATATTTCGTTCAATATGAAGTAACTATAAACCTACAAATGAGATCAAAAATAAACTTTTTCAACCAAATTAAGTACATTAAATTGATATGCTATGATGTGTAAATGCTTTAGCATAATAAAAGCTAACGGAATGCATTACTCAAAATAATTAGAACCATTTATTCAAATAATTTTCAAAATCTGTATAAACAAATATTCTAATTATTTTAAGTAGCATACACCCATATCAAGGCGCAACGTGCTTCCTACATAATCAATGTTCGCCATGAACACGTTGATTAAACTACGAGTAACAAATATTTATTTTACCATGCTTGGTCCACACGTACTGACCCGTGTAAATTACATGTACGTAACCGTGCTGTGACACAAGGGGCAAGCGTTAATATTAACCACGTCACGTTCCGTAGCAACATGATGCCTGCAAACGGTACAAATCCACGCGTTACTGAGATCCATCAATGGCTTTCCTGAAATGATACAAGGAGGAAACCTGGTCATACAATTTGGACAAGCGACGCACCAGTCGGGTACCATTGTCTCGCAATTAGCGCATTCAGCTTTCGAATTGCGAACGTCTTTCGGACTGTGCTTGGTGAAGATATCCACCGCTAGATCCTCGTACTCTTCTCTAGCCGATTCCGAGATAATCTCCAGCGATTCGAGCTTGATGAACGCCTTGGAACAGACAGCAAAAGCGTGATTAACAGCGCTCGACAGTGCAAGCAAGCAGTAAATATCCTCCGGCTGCAGAATATCCTCGTACTCTCTGAGACGCAAGGCGGTTTTCATAGCCGCGTCGTAGTGTCCCGAGTATACCTGCCTGTGCGCCAATAAAAGAAAGTGATACGCCTCTGCGCCCCTCCAGGCGTTCTCTATCACGCGAGAGTCTTCATTGTTCTCCGTTAAACCCATCACAATGTTGCTGCGGCCGCCCTTGGTCGCAGGCGTGATGTTGATGTGATCTTCGATCAGCAAAGCCGCAAGAACATAAATCTTCTTCACGCGCAATGGATTCGTTCGACTCATCGCCTGTTCCTCGGCCAATTGAAACAACAATTTCGCCGCCTCCAGATTGTAATTCGCTTTCTTATACAGCTCTATCGCCTGTAACATTTTACCGTTCGATAGAAGATGATTGGCGTACTTGTTCAATAATTCCCCTATTTGAGCCATCTTGTAAGTTCTTGCCAGTTCCACAGCCTGATCCCAGTGATTCAAGCGAACGCAGGTGTCCACGGCTAGCTTCACGTCTCCGTATTTTATGTAAGCCGCAACAGCCTGAGAACACATACCTACGGACGCTAACATTCTCGCGACTGTTTTTAATAAAGGACTCTTGTCCGACAACTGTTGCACGGTTCCTGCCAATTGAACAAAGTCTTCCAGCTTGTAATAACAATCAATTAACTTCTCCAAGTTCCTACTCTTTTCGTAGTACTCCCTCGCACCCTCCCAATTCTGTCTCTCAGCATAGTACTCGCCGATCTTGTTGTAAGCGTGCTCCGTCTGCTTGTCGGAGCCACCGATCCCCATCTTCATTAACTGAATCACCCGGAAATAATCGCCTAATTTCTGCCGCAACGATATCGCCAGGTCCCTTCTGTCCATGTCCAAGTATAATTTCTCTGCCTCGTCGTAGTTCCCAAGGAAACCCGCCACCTCCGCTCTCTTCAACTGATCGTTGTGCACGTTCTGCAAACGTTTTATGAACTGTATACCCAGGTAATCGGTGCAACGTACCATCGCGTTCTCCGCAGTTTCCAGATCCAATTTCTGCAACGCTGACTCGGCCAATAAGCGCCACAATCGTGGATGAGGATTGTCCTGAATGAAGTTGTTGGCTTCCTTCAATCCTACCTTCGTCAGTAACTCCCTGGTGTCCCTCAAAGATTTTACCTCTAAATCGACTATCAATTCATTCCTCGTATCGTCCGGCTTCTGCATGAGATCGTCCAACAACACGCAACGTATCTCTAAGTCTTGGAAGGAACAAATGTATCCGGAACACGATATCGGTTCCTCAGGATCAAACTCTCTCAACACGTACATCCTGGTCTTCTCCATGATCGCCAACAGAGCCGGATTATCTTGCGCCCAGCACATAGCCCAAACGTCCTTCCTCTCAAATTTATTTATATCATCCTCCGTATCTCCGTTTTTGAAATTCTTTTTCAAATCGATATCTAAATCCAACATAGTCAATACGCCACTGGTGTCCATCAAGGATGCGCGTGACGAGTCGCAATTGATTGCGATTTTGTACAATTTACATGATGTGTTATACCTGTTCGTGAGAGTTATTTGCGGTAAAGAGTATCTCTGGATCATTCCTGATTCTCTGCCGATCAATAAAACCTTCTCAGTTGCATATAGACAACAAATAGGATCCATAGTAGCCTTTGTATTAATAGGTGTTTCAAATGATCTATCTTTATCTAAATCTTGAATAACTTCTGTCACACCAGTTGGAGTTTCATCTATGTGATAAATCTTGTCCCTTTTGACTCGACCTGCATGCAACATGGTATTGCGAGGAGTACGATGATTCCATACTAAGAAATTATTTTTTGACGCTGTTATGATGGTGTTGTTAGTCATGGTAACCCATAACGGCTCTAGATCTATAAATTTAGTGTCTATCGGAGTGGCTATTGAGTTGCAGACCAAGAGGGCGAATTGTTCAGAGCCTTGTACAAGATCATTCTTCACAGCCAGAACACAGTGGTCTCCGTACGAGGACACTGATATCAACGCTTTCACGTATTTCGTGCAACAGGTGTTGTTGACTGTGTTCCAGAACATGATACAAATGCCATCTTTGCTAATCTTTTCGTTTGTGTACACAACTGTGTTACTGAAATAAGTCCACTTGTAATCTAAACGGATGTTCGCGAAATATATGTGCGAATCCACTGACAAAGCTACTCGGAGAGAGCCTCCTTCCCATGCGCAACACGTCACCTCTCTACCAGGTATTTTTAAAGTTTTCATATGTTTACCAAATGGAGTATAGAACTGAATGACATTTGTATCCTTTGTCTCTCCATTACTTAACATCGGCATCATTCCTGTAACTGCTAGCAGAGACCCACAACTGTTCCAGCAACACCATGCTGCGGTCATACCGGTTTCTATTACGATCGGATTATCATCGTTTGTATCTCTCATAAGTTGTATTTTACCGTTTCTGTAGCAGATAATTAAAGTTGGACAGTCCAAACCGATGTAGCCATTTCTTCCATCGTACCATTGTAACGATACTATTGTTTGGATCTGACTATTGAGAGAAACCATCTGTAACTTTGTTAAAAATACACCTTGGTTATCGTAAAGATGAACTTCCCCATTTTTTAAGCCAAATAATAATAGCTTTCCATCTGGAGACCATTGTACAGCAGCCAGAGATATATTCTTCAATTCTTTCCCCCAAATTCTGTTACCATCGACAGAACCCACGATAACTGCTCCATCTTCGTAGACTATGCAAATTTTTAAACCGTTGGAACTCCATGCCATTCCTTTGACTATTGATTTATTACAATTGTTTATCATTTCATCATACCAGGATCCTTTGTACAACATCCAAACTATGATCACGCCGTTCTGATCACTGGAGGTCAATTTCTGATGTTGCTCGTTCCAGGTAACAACTTGTACATGACTATTATGACCTTCCAGGGTCTGATTCATGCTTAAATTACTGGCAGCAGTTAAATTCCGAGATTTTCCACCACTGCTAGATCCGCTTACGCTGGAATCTACTCTGAGTACTTTCAAGAGACCGTCTTCTCCTCCGACTGCTATATAACCTTCCCTTTGATTCCATGCTATGCAATTTAATCGAAAATTGTTTGGTATTGCAATCTTTTTGCTTAGGTATACAAACATCTTGGTGATATTCAATAATAAAAATGTAATTTGTGTTAATAAAACAATTTCTGAAAAAATATATCAAAATATTCATTATTACCATTCAATCAGTTATTAATTTTAATAATTGTATTCATTACTCACATTGTTACATGGAAATGATCCCAATAATTTGACAATAATGATAACAACGATTAATAAACAATGCCTATTATCTGAAACAAATCTTTTTAGTATGCATTATGAGACCCAACGACATAAAGCATTTTGTACATAGATTTAAGATATTTACTTTATTTAATCAAATCCATTTTTAATGACTAATAGAGTTTCATATATAAAAAATTAACTCGAATAGGTTATCGTAAACAATCAAATTTGATTACATGTATACATTGAACTGGGATATGTCAAGTTTAGTCCCATTCACATTAATGTTTGCTAAAGGAAGGGAAATACAAATACAAAAAGACTGGACATGCCTTTGTTCTTTCAAAAAAACACAATTTTGACTCCCTTTGATTCTATCTTTTAGATATCATTCAAAACCAGCACAAGACTGAAGAATGATTAAAATAATTGTTTGATAAACAGTTATCTAAATTACTGATTTCATTGCTGAAAGTAAAGTAGCGCAAGTTTCAAATTGAATTGCATTTTCAAATATAGTTTTATTATTACAATGTAAAAATAGATTCTTTTGGAGTTAACAGCTTGCAGTTATTTCTATAAAGTACTTGCTTAAAAATTGTTGAATTTGACTTTGTATAGATTACTATATAAATTATAACTTATAACTTTATACACATGTGACGATATGTACAATTACTGTACAATTAAATCTCAACCTCCAATCCCACTAATAGGTTTAAACATAACAAGATTATGCGGTAATCTTTTCACAACACCATTTCCTCGCCATAAACAAATCCAACAATCACAGACTTCCGGATACATATTCACGATTAATGTACAAATTTCAGGATTTTCAATAAATATTTCAACATCAGGATATTCAGTAATACTTTTACAACCACTAACATCTATATATCTTAACGTTGGCGTATGATTTAACAATAAATGCAAAGATTTTACTCCTACATTTTTGTTTCCTCTAAGTACCAACTTAGAAAGATTTGATACTTGCGATAATATATTTCTTACGTCGGTATCCATTAAATCACAGGCAGCAAGTTCCAAACATTCTAAATTTAAAAACGAATAACTCGTGCTAGTAAAAATATTTTTGACTAAATTGAATTCACTTGAAGAAGCAGTATTTGATAAATTTAAATTAAGTAACTGTCTCTGTAAAGAAGTACCCAGGCCGTTTTCATTGAAACTGTTCCAAGATATATCTAGGTTTACGAGGCTACAGTTATTTAAAATAAACTGGAAATTATTCAACTGACAATATCGTAAATTTAAGGTCTGAAGCTGTATCAAAGGTCTAAGAAGTTTAGACAAAGTTTCCTGACTTGCTGGCCCAAGTGGATTATAACTCAGATCTAAATGCTTGAGCTGTACAGGTAGCTTGTCTAATTTGTTTAAACAATTTGAATCTACATCGCATCCTTGCAGGCACAATTCTTGTAAAGTCGATAACTTCAAAATGCAATCATTTAAAACTTTTCCTAATTCATATAATTCTCCACCAGATAAATCTAATATTTGAACATTTTTTTGATATTCCAAAGTCTTCAATAGAGATATAAATTCATTTTTACTGATATCTTCTTGTTTCAAGCGTAAAATAAATGTGTTCTCACATGATTTCAAGCATTTTGACACGGATTCACGAACATCTAAAAAGTTTAAACACGACAATTAATAAAAAAAATTAAATTTAACGAGTTATTACGAAATTCTTACCTATATTGTAATTTTTACAAATTATTCCATATCGTTCGACGATAGACGGCGTTTCTAATTCAATTATTTCGCATTGCAAATTTTTAATCACATCTCCTTCGTTTAAAATTGTAAGTAAGTTATTGTTATTTATTGCAATACCGCTCACAGTTTTTAATTCAAACTTAGCTTTACATCCACTGTCGTTGTAAAATTTCGTTTCAATATCAGTTAAAATATCTTGAATTAATGGCTTTGCCGTATTCGAAAACTCTACCTGAGTTTTGAATACTTTCCCTTCCACCGAAACATTTAAAATAATTGATTTTATAGCACCCGTTTCTCGAAATTCAAATTCTGTAGGAGATGGATTTACAGGCGAAGGAGTTCGAGAAACAGAATTTTTAGAAAATCCAATTGACAGCAAAGACACCTGTTGCTTTTTCCTCCGAGATTTTGATGCATTGGAAGAACATGTTACAACAGTGTCGCAACTTTCGTTGCTATCTTCTTCTATTAAATCAAATTCCTTCTCTTTTGTTACAAAACTTTCATTACTCGTTTTTTGTCGTTTTAAAGTTTTCTCAGAATCAATATCACCACTACTCGATTTCCTTTTTATAATCGAAAGCTCATCAGAGCACCTTCTACTGCTAATATTTTCACTAATGTCGTCTTCCAGCCAATCGTCCAGAAGAACTTCTTCGCTGTTTAAAAGAGGATTTACATTAGAGTTACTACGAGATAGAGGTGCCCCAATTGGATCATTCCTACGTTTTAAACTGGCTATAGTTCTCTTATAATCTTCACCTGCAGATATTTTCTCTACAGTATTATCCTTATCGACGATATAAGTTTTTGAATTGTGCGGTGATTTATATGACCGTTTGAAATTTTTCCTCTGACTTGCTGGAATGATCGCAGACAACATATTATACATTTCATCGTACTCCTCTTGATCTTCGGAGGATAAATAATCGACACGATTTCTCCACTGTTCTAAACAATCTAGTACCGTATCATCTTCATTTGTTTTAAGTTCTACATTAGCACCATACTGCATTAGAAGCCGCATCATTCTGATGTTACCACAAGATGCTGCATCATGGAGAGGTGTAACCCCTTGGCACATGAGACTTCCAGGGTCATTTACATCTGCGCCATGCTTCAATAATAACTCTGCAATCTCCACGTAACCATGATTCGCAGCCTCGTGGAGAGGTGTCCAACCAAAATGATCCCTAGCGTTCGTTGGATGACCAGCCTCCAACAATTTTTCTGCAGTTTCAATGTTTCCATTAATACAAGCGACGTGAAGCTGCGTTTCACCCTTTTCATTTCTCTTTATCGCCATTGATTTCTTCCTTGTCCGTTTTCTACTCACCCTGCTGTTCCCCTTAGCTTGCAATTCCGCTTCTACGTCAGACAAATCTTCCAAGCAAATATCTGCGCCAATCTGCTCTTCTGATTCGCTTTCGCTATCTGTATCAGTAGAATATTTTTCTAACTCTTTCAATCTTTCTACGAGCGTTTTTATTCCTTCAGTTTTACCGGAAGATTTTAAGAAATTTAAACGTTCCTTCAGGACGGACGCTTCTAAAGAAATATTTGAACTATCTTTCGCATTGTTCAGGGCTAAATTATATGTCTCCTCGATTTTTTCATCGGCTGCCTTATTGGCTATCAATAAATCCGCTAAAAATAAAGCAGATCTACATATTTCCCGAGGATCCGTGCACGATATCAATTCTCTTTGAGCAAATTCTAACGCTTCATCGTATCGTCCAACGTCTTTCAAAGTTTGCGCCAGACTCAACAAAGCTGCTCCTATTCGATCACTTTTCATTTCTTCAGCGCACTCGAGCATCTTCTTGTAATAATCGATAGCTTTTTCAAAACATTGCGCGGCAACCGATGCGTCTCCTAACGTTTCGTAAAGTTTCAACTTACCGCTTGTACTTTCTTCTGCGTTTAAAGCTTCCTCGGTAGTGTGCAGTGCTGCAACTATAACAAAACAATAGCTTTTTTAATTCTATTATGCTATTATAAATAATAGCAATTTTTAATCCTATTATGCTATTATAAATAATAACAATTTTTAATGCTATATAAAAATTTATATCATCACAAATGTACCTATTCTAAGGCATTTTTCAACTTGGTGCTTCAGATTTTCTGGCAACTTGCTTGAAACGTAGAGAGAAACTAATATCTTCCGTGATTCATGCCATCTTTCCATTTTCAAAAGTAATTCCGCTTGAAATAACCGTGCTTCCGCTTTTAGAGACGTATTATCAACCTCAGTGGCATTTTCAAAATGTTTCAGCGCTAATTCGTAATTGCACTGCCGCTCATAAATTCCTCCTAAAGCAATTTGTGTTCTATGATAATCTTCTTTTAAATTGTGAGTCTGACATAATGCCGCAGCCTTTTCCATTAAATCAACAGCCTCTTGATGATCTTTCTGAGCTTCTAATACCAAACCCAAATTTAAAAGCAACCTAGCTCTCATAGTGATCAATTCCTTCAAATCAATATTTGTATCTTCCAATCTAAATAAAATATATATTTTTAATATACACCTTAAATATTGTTCAGAAAATTAATACATTTGTACAGAAGACATACTCATTGCAAAGACGTATGCTCTTCACGTATGCCTTTTTTGAACTTTTTAGAGCATCAGATTTATTCTCAACCTCAGGCAAACTTTCAGCCCAACAAAAATATGTTCTACCTAATGTTGCATAAGCACGTTGCTCTTCTAATAAATTCTTTATCTCCTTGGCTCCTTCTGCCTAACACAAGAATATTGTTATTACAATTGTGTTGTTATATTATGGATGTTGATCATTTAAGAAAACAAACCCAAGTATAAGTTCTGATGCTTTAATGCTTCCTCATAGGTGCCTAAATTAGCATATATCTCTCCAATCATTCTATGAGCTACAGCAATGTTCAATTTATCCTCTAAAATATTACAGACTTCCAATTGTTCTTTGTATTCTTGTAGAGCATCCTCAAACCTTCCAGTCTCAAAATATACATCCCCAAGTTCTTTGGTAACTTCAGCTAATTGCTGAAGGTTGCCATCGCGTTTGACCCGTTTCTTCTTTCTGGTTAATCCTGTTATATAAAAAGTTAATCATGCATAAGGTATAATTGCCCATGAAACATTAAGTTGATTCTTATAAAATATTTGTTAACAGACAAATATTCCCAAATTACAGTTATTATCAAAGTAGGATAGAATTTTTAAATGAACAAAAGAAGATATATTAAATACAAAAATTCAATGAATACTCACTATCAACATCCATTGTTTATAAATCGTGAATTATTATAGAAACAAGTGATTCACATTCGATTCACTGGATTTGATTGAAATCACCTTCGAGCTTGGGAACGTGTCTCACAGACACAGAGGCAGGCACATGCTGAAAGCATAGGCACGCACGAAAAGTATCAAACGCTACAGCAGACGCGTCGTAACGGTAAAGAAGAGAGTACGAAGGGCCATTGATGGAGGAGCCAAAAGAAAATCGTGAAGTTACTAGACATCGAAATTACCATCAATCGCTGATAAAAATCAAGGTATTGTTACATCGAAAAAAGTTGAACGCGAAATATTATCTCTGCTAATGTACTTTCGCAATGCGGACACGGTTTGATATTCATACGATTAGAATAATGCGAAATGAGAGCGTGAGAAAAGAATTTACATTCTGAACTGCTATGACATTGAATGCAATTGAAATCGTTTTAGCCTAATTACGTTATGGCAATAACGAAAGAATGTACGGAAAGTATAGTGTAATTGTTGCGGTAAAATTTTACGTACGCAAACATAGCGCTCACTTTCATAATTCTTTACCTAATTTTAAGACGCGCATCAACTACAATGACTTCATAATCTACGGAGCACAAGTACGAGCTGGTACGAGGTAGTACGAGCATTTAGCAGCGGATAACCTGTGGCGCTTGAAAGTTCACTCATTCTCGGCGACCCATCAGTCGGACCGTGTGTGCGGGTCAGAAAAGGGTGATGGGTGATGTGTCCCGTAAGATAGTGACACGAAGTTGACATATTGTAGAATTCTCCTGTCGAATACGTATTCGTATTTCTCTCTGGTATACTTTTATGATCTTCGTTAAAATCACTAATGGCTGGGGAGTTGCGTGAAGAGAGGTTTACGGGTAGGTTGTAGATGCTTACAGCATTAGAATCATTGTAAGTTTTGGATCGATACGCGCGGATTCTTCTTCCGTCGATGAATTCTCTTACCAATGGATGCTGTTCAATTTTTCTTTATTATAATAACATGTAAACTCTTTGTATCGGATTAAATGATACGCTCTCTATGGAATAAAGACAATTCAGCGGAATTATTTCCAGCGCGCTTCTAATTGCCGAGATAAATTACTATTAATTAAGATGTTCCGTTATGAAAGGTACGCGACAGTGTAGCTACTTTTGTTGAACTTGTACGTTTTATAAATTGAAAGAACACTGTTGAAATTTTACTTTTCTTTTGCTGAAACTATTTTTTAGAGAAAAATAAATGTATTAAAAATTAAATTGCGGCAACAGATTATTTAGAGTACTATTTCTTTTTTTAGACTTAAAGATCATCATGTATCTGCTATTGTGTAACATAGCTGTGTTTATTTTAAAATCATTTCCTTACACTTGTAGAATATTTTAGGCATTCATTTGAAAGAATTTATTATTAAATTAAATTATTTTTAAATAAAAAAAATGAATTTTTTTTTAATAATTAATTTACATAGTTCTAGATCAACCAAGACCGCTCTTGTATTTGCATCAACCAGAAAACTCCACAATGTTCTATTGTGATATTGAAGTTCATCAACGATGGAAGAAAGAAAACTTACAAAATCCTGTGACACTCTGGCAAGGTTGAATGAAAATGAACATAAATTGTTTGAAAACCGAAATCATTGCACAAAACCGTTGCCTATTATATTTAACGAAGAAAATGGTGAAGACTTAATAAACGATCAAGATTGCGTTGATGATTCAACGAGAATTAATTGCTGTAACAATTCCTCAAAAGCGTTATTATGTTTAAAGGATTCAGAAGTAATTTCTTATGGTTCAATATTTATTATTAACTGATTATGTATTTAATATATTAAATTCATTTAACGATGGATTTCAGAAGTCTCAGGAGAAAGAGGAACCATGTTCGTTGAAAAAAATTAATCAGCAACCACCTTCACCGACTACTCTACAATGGGGTAGGGCCATAGCAGAGGTAAAGGAACATGCTGTAGCAAAATTGCAAGATGAACTTAAAAGAGCACACGAGGAGTTAAAATTGAAAGATGAAGAGGTCACAAGGCTCTCGAGAATCAAACAGGATGTCGAAGCTGAATTAGAGGAACTCACTGCCAGTCTCTTTCAAGTAAACCGCATAAGTTAAGATATACAAAGAAACTGAAAACTGATTAAAAAACAAAATTTTACATTTTAAATAGGAGGCACATAATATGGTTAGAGAAGCGAATGTACGTCAAGCCACAGCGGAACGTTTATTAGAGGAAAGTCGTATGAAAGCCGAGGTTCTAGCTGCTGAAGTAGCAGCATTGAAAACGTTAGTCTTAACTTCGACGCCGGCTAAGCCAAATTTTCATTTACACCCGCAAATCGATACGAAAAGTCGTTCAAATAGCGAGGATGGTCAACAGGGTCTTTTTACAAGAAAACACAGAAGGTGGAACAATTTTTCATTGTTCTAGAAACATCAGCTGTTACGTAAATTAAATTTTAAATACTTTTTCATTCTAGGTCACCGTCGCATTTTAACTTAAAATACGGTCGAGAGAATTCTCCACCGGATTCTCCGCTAAAAGAACAAAGACCGTCTTTACCATCCGATCGAGAATCCCTCGAGAGGGATTGGAAGAAAGATTCAGACAAAGAGAAAGATAAAGAATGTAAAGATTTCGGCCTTGAAGTTGATCCTAGAATTCATACAGAATTTCTTAAATGGAAAGCTAATCCATGCGTGGACAAAGGTGATCCTTTTGTCGGTAGAGTATTTAAAGAAGATATCGATCTTTGCCTTGATTTCCCTAATAAAGAATTAGGAACGAAGGTTAGGCAAGCTGTTCTCGACGGTATTATCTTCATCGAGGCGATAAGTGACAAAACTAAATTTACATTTCCAAAGTAATTAATATATTTCAAAGTACGAACCTTTATATTAATCATATTTTAACAAATACATTTTTCATTGTATTTTAGAAAATGTGTATTACTCGAAGCTCCGCGTCAATGTTATTATCGAATGAGGCTCGGGGATCAAGAAAATCAGTGGTACAGCATATCACAAATTTGTCGAAATCGAGTAAGTTTTTCAATTCTATATTTAAAGAAATTTATCAAGTATTGGATGTAATATTAGATATCCATTTCTATAGATCATAGCGGTCTGCGATTTTTTGAATTACCTACGTTATATCGAGCGTGGCCTTGTCAAAAGTTCAGGTAAATTGTACGATATACTTATTTCTGTTTAGTTACTTGAATCTGAATATCTTCATTTTACAGTTCACGATGTTTATTGGGAAATTACACGATTACGGAAGGAAATGGCGTTCGCTCGTCTGGGTCTCGCGCTATCGTCTTAACGCACTCCATGGAGGATTTCTTCTAGTCTTAAACATAACAAATTAGGCCATGGATCTGTTATATTATTCATTTACATCTATCGACTATAGATTGTTAACAATTTTAATCGTTCCAGCTAGACTCGATCATTTTTACTACCTACCGATCGAGATTTTATAGAGTAAGTGTTAAAATTTTAACGTATAAAAGTTCTCAAAATCCTCTATTATAACGCTTTGAATTTATTTAATGGAAAAAAAAGGAAAGAAAGTGATTGAATATGAGCCAATTTAGAATTTTTCATTGAGATTATAGTTTCTAAAAATTCTGAATCCTATTTTTTATTGTTAAACAATGAAGACTTTTAACGATCTGACGTTTGTTATATAAAAGTATAATTTACTATTATAAAAAAAATCCAAAAAACGTCTCGATCAGTTTCAAAGTGCAATGAAGTATCTTTAAGATATTGGGAAACATGGTGCCTTTTGACTTTTCGCTTATTAATAACACGTAACTAGTTTTAAGTTTTATATTTAGCGATGATTTAATCATGCCCACGCAGTTGAAATTATTTCGGGACTTCTATATCACACGAATAGCTGCAATTTCTATTACTTTAAACTGCATTCTCTCGTTTGAGATAAAAAAAAGGTGTAAATGTTGTAGTCTGAAAGGGTAAACGTCTTCACAGAATAATTTTGAAGTTGTCTATTGATTGAGATTATGACATCTAATGAAAATATGTATTATATTGACAATTACTTTTAAGTAGAAAATATTCAATGCATCCAGAGATAGGTTAATCGCGTTTCATTCTTTTTCCGTTGACTATTAATGATTATACCAATTCCTTCAAGTTTGTAGCAATATTTGGTTGCTCATTAATAGTTATCAATACCTGTAGATTGTGAAGCGATGTTTTTTATATATGTACATACCTTTGGACTTACCAAGTAAAACTAAATTTATCGAAAAAAAATGAATCTTTATATAGTGTTAACAAATATTGAAATAATTAAATTATTTCAATAATGTTTTCTGAAAATATAAATATCTTAACACTAGAACTATCGACGTTTGATGCACACTAATTTCTAAGTTGAAAATAATACAGAAAATTAAATAAATACCAGATGAAACATAATTTAATATATGTATATATCAATTCTTTATCTCGACAATAGTCAACATACATTCCAGCAAAAATACCTTGATAAACTTGATAATTTAAAATAAGAAACTGGAAAGCAGTCATTTTGACCCCTTTGGTAGTTCTAGTGTTGAATCATGGCTAAGTATTCTAAAACATGCCATACATAAATCTTCTATTAAAAATCAAAAGCATAAATATCTATGGATAAAAAAGATTGTTGAATATTGTATTAATTAAGTGGCACAAAATGATTGTGTTTTTAATTTAAGAATCAATGATATTATATCGAATATAATGATCATATATTTATATATCGAATAATTTATAAAACTTAAATCTTGTCCAAAGGTACACAATTTTCCCCCGTAGAGAGAATTGTATTATATCCACAAGGAATATATTCCATTTTGTTGCAAACATTAATCAGTACCTGGTAACTAGCGCGCATATGAAAAAAATAAATAAAGTGTATACTATTAAGAATGATATGAAACACTCTTATGTAAATTGTCATGTAACTAACGTAGTGGTTGAAATTAGAAACATTTGATGTGTGCTATGGCTAGAATAACCTTTTATAATCTGCCACAAAATAATTTCTATCGTAATTTTTCTACGTTGATTCATTTTTCAATTGTAAATTACACATTTAACAAACTATACTCGATTAGGCATTGTTATTGTTATACATAAAAGTGTTTCGATCTTCAGCAATAAGGAAACTTTTTATGCAATACTTCTTCCAGTGTTTTACATGTATTATTTTAGATCTGAATCATTGAAACAAGATACTTCCGTTTTATATTCTTTTATATGAATATCAAAATAAAACGTAGGCTTGTTTTTATATAACTATAATAAGTAATTATTAAGGATATGTTTCCTGCTTATTGAAGGTGCTTTAAAGATATATTTATATATCAAATGCTTCCAATTGTAAAATTCTTAGACTAATTTTAGGTACTTGCTGTTAGTAAGTTTTTATACAATCAATCAAAAGAAATGTGTTCGAATATGCAAACATAATTTAGCTTGAGATAATTTTTTGCAAAAATCCATGGGTTTCTAAATCAAAACGAATTTTAGTTTTATCAATTGAATCATTATTACCGTATGCGCATGCGTTCGCGTAAAATATTGCGCAACAATTATATTCTGAAGAATTCAATTGAACAGACAAATATTTTTCCCTGTTTAATTTTTGTACATAATGTTATTTAAGAAGATCGAAATAATAAGCTCATTTATTCAGTACTAAGTACGAAGAGAAGAAATAAAATTGTAACAATATGTACATGTTTGATAGTCAATTAGAAATATTCACAATAGTACTCGTTCAAATTGTTCAAGTTGCCAAAGATCGCTTCCGAATGATTTTCATCATAAGTTTATACATTTAGATGTGATCCATAAGTACATATAGATTCGAAAAGAGTAAAACGACTTCCGCATAATAACATACAGGAATTGTAATAATTATTATCCAAAAAATCTGTCATAATAGTGATTAAATATAAATCTCTTTATTTTAAAGTAATAAACTGTGCGATCTTTAGTTATCAATAAATTTAATTTATCATAAATGTAATTACTTCCTGATCTAATTATCAGTTGAATGTAATTCTTGTTTTTCAATAATGTAACAAATGAAATTGTTATCTTTAAGTTAATATTAATTATTTTCGCTTATAGTTATGAACCTTCAAAGTTTTTATATTGTAGAAATGTAACAGAATATAATAGTATTGCTGTTGTTTTCAAAGGATTATGATTGTACATTTTAAACTACAAATTATCCTTATTCCAAAGATTATCTATATGATTAAGTCTTTACCAATGACATTGATCGACGTCAAGTATATAAGTTGTACTTTAGAAATAGAAAAAAAAATATATATATATACTGATAAAATTGAGTAACCTCCTCCTTTTTCGAAGTCGGTTAAAAAAGAACAGGAGGTATTCAAATTCAAATCAGTGACTACAGATAGACTATCTGTAATCACTGTACAAATAATGGATGATGTTAGAGTGGCCACTAGGTGGTGCTGGACAACAAGTTCCCTCACTTTTTGGTTGACGTGATTGTTTTGTCCTTAGGATCTTTATTATTCTCTTCAAATCCACTGTAACAGATAAGATTTTACACATTCGTGTATTGCTGGTTGAACAGTTCAGTTACCGATCTACAGGTACCGAGTGTAACATGTGGAAATCTATAGTGTTCCTTACACTTGCCGCTATTGGGATAGGTTCTTACTTGAAGTAAGTCATTTGATTTTGCCTCATAATTACCGGTTAATTATAAGACCTTCAAGAAAAACCGCTTATTAAAACTTAGATTAATACTATGTTTGTGTTTATTCTACAAAAACGTTTCAGTTGACCCTGACAGGTATTTCTCTTTTTAAGAAGAGAAGACAAATAATAAACGTAATTCTGATTATAAAAGATATTTAACAGATTTTGATTTTAAAAAAGTTCGATATTTTGTTATGTTACAAACTCATATTGAAAAAAAAACCTGTTCGAAAACCGGTCGTCGAGTTTTTTAAAAGTAATTCAAATATTTGATTACAACTACCATATCTTCTAAATATAAATCTTACTGCTGTCATATTTCTTATCCATTACAGCTCTGTTAGGTAGACAGGATATATTCTGCAATATCATCGATTTATATAACGCATCTTATTTAGAACAAAATATGCAAACAGTTTTTATCTGTCTTATAATGGATTCAACATTACTAATTTAGTTCACTATGTAATTAATGATTTCAAATTAAAGAACTGACGCTAATTAAAGAAAAATGATTGCAAATCTAAAAACTGAATATTCACGCGTCTGTACTGCTTTGATTACAACACGCAACACATACATATGTATATCTAGGATGAGTACAGGAAATACTAGCGAAGGTCATATTCATTCTGTCTCGAAAAATTTCAGTAATCAAACGGAGACGTGTTATTCATCGTACAAAGACCTCTCGATCCAACACAAACAACTCTTAATCGACATTTTTCTAAAGAAATATCGAACAGAATCGTTTAAAAAAACAGCATGATACGGAAGGTTCATTACGTTAACTCTTCCTCCGTACGCAGGGTCAGCCCTGAGATTTCGGGGGTCCGAGGTGAGCTTCGAAAAAAGGCCCCTTCACATATATGACATAAAAAAAAGTACCTTGAATAAAATTTACAAAATTAACATTAAAGCTTATATAACTAATTTAGATTTGCATTTACATCGATTAATATTCAAGTAAACATTCCTCTTTTTGCGTTTGTACAATTAGACGCAAAGTCGTCTTATGGGGGCTCTAGGCGGCCAGCTAGTCTGCCTAGGCCCAGGGCCGGCCCTGTCCGTACGATTTGTACTTTGCTTTCTGAAGTGTCATTGATTAATGATATACATATGTAACATTAAAAATTTACCATATAAATGTTTCCTTTTAATTACTATGCTAATGTTATTACCATTACCATGACGTCAAAATTCGCTCTCAATACGTGTACCATTTGCAAATCAAATAAACAACAAAATTGCACGGTTATTTATATTATCCTGTTCAATTATTTTCTTGTATTTCGAACAGGCAAAATAACTTAACTGTTTAGTATTATAAGCAAATACTTAATTGTTCTAACAGGACTGCTGCCGAGTGCAAAAAATAGGTCGGTCACTCTATGCCGCAAGGTTTAAGCGACCATATAATCGGGAACGCGATATCACGTGATCAAACATTTAACGTTAATAATCGAGTGTAAATAATATATTTTCAATTTCTGCAATCTGGTCAAAATTTTATCGACTAGAAAGTTGCTTCATCTATTGAGTTATCAAATATTATCTAGATAATTACTTATCCAGATGGTTGATCAAAATTAATAAATTTGACGTGTTTATATTCAAGAATTACGTATGCATCATAGTGTCCGTTCGTCTAGTGTATTTTGTAATTTCAAATAAATTATTGAATATTCTAAAGCTTTTATCAGATGATTATGTTATTTTAACGCTTTTATTAAATAATTAGATTTATGATATTTGTTGCAGTTAAACTTGGATTCCAAAGTCAGTACTTTTTCAGTAGACGAACGGACACTATGATACATACTGTACAGATGAACGGAACTAGTCACGTTCTTAGATGAAAAGTCGAAAATTTTAATTACTTATAACTTCTAAGTGCATTTGACGAATCTCGATGAAATTTTCAGCATAAACATAACTTATTTTAAATTTTCATTATAGGCTCACATAAAAAAGTTGAAAAATGATCCTTCACTATTTTTTTTTCACGATTTCAACAAATTTTTTAAAACGACAAAGGCACATATCTTAATAAATTAATTTGTATAGCTTCTCGAGAAACCTCAAGTCATTTGGTCCAATTTTAAACGAGGTATTCCGTTTTAAACGGTGGACGAATACTTTTGCGGCAGGGTGTACGTACATTAATTACCCTGAAATTGTATTTCATATCAATCGATCGAAGTTCAATGTCTCAAATAAAATAAATGAAAGTTTCTTCGTTACTTTCCACTTAGGTATCTCCTCAGTCCTTTCGATACAAACAGTAATATTATTTGCTTTTTATTTTCAATAAAGTACGAAGTTCATTGATAACGTTGTAAGATTATCTTGAATTGTACCGCAGCTGCCTTGAGTGACACGTATGTATGAAATACACACGTTCTGGGAGACTATATTTAATAGCGGTGTTATCTAATCGACAAGGTTTACTGTGACGTGATCTGAGGAGCAGTTTTTTATTTTTTACTATACCGATAAATATTTCGATACGATTTGATTTTCGAAAATTAATATACTAATTTTATCACTTGTTTTATCTAATTTTCACCTAATCTTGTCGAGCGATTTCTTATCAGTAATAAATATGTATCATAACAAAATTTATGCAATATCATCACTAGTGTGACTTTAGTAAGAATTAAGATAAATTAAGAATTATTGTTCTTCCTTTATATGAATTAATAATATTTTATTTGCAGCTTCCCAACTGAACACCATGTACCAACTTTACCGGAACCAAATTGGGGCCCGAAGAAGGCTGCGAAAGCATCTACCGAAATCCGGCCTTTTAAGATCGATGTACCGAAATCGGTACGTAATAATATAAATAATATTTATTTACTGTACAAGACACGTTTGTAAAATTGAAATTCTTTCGAAGGTCCAAGAGGATCTAAAAAATCGTCTCGAGAATCGTAAAACGTACGTGGAACCGTTAGAAGATGCAGCTTGGACTTACGGAATTTCCACCAAGTACCTCAATACGGTACTTGATTACTGGAAGAACAAGTATAATTGGACCGAGAGACAAGCATTGTTGAATAAGTACCCTCAGTTCAAGACAATTATCCAAGGTGAAAAAAAAAGGGAGAAGAAGCATCTGGAAAGGAATTTGTTAATTTGTATAAATTATTGTATGGAATTTTAATACCTAGGTCTTGATATACACTTCTACCACGTGAAACCGACCAATCTTCCAAAGGATAAGAACTTGAAAGTTCTTCCTTTACTGCTGCTACACGGATGGCCTGGATCTGTTGTTGAGTTTCAAAAAATAATACCCATGTTAACAAAACCATGGCCCAATCATGATTTTGTGTTCGAAGTTATTGCACCATCGTTACCTGGGTATGGATTCTCACAAGGAGCTGCACGTCCAGGATTGGGTACAGCCCAGGTAAAATTTTCTATTTGAGTACAATATTCAAACGACTGACGATCCTGAGGGCTTAAATATTTCTTATTTAGATGGCAGTGGTATTTAAGAATCTGATGCAGAGGCTTGGTTTTAATAAATTTTACCTTCAAGGCGGAGATTGGGGATCTCTGATCGCCTCCAATATGGCTGCTCTTTATCCAGAAAAGTTAGTAAATATAGTATTTAAACTTTTCAAACGCACAAGAAATATATACATTTGTTTTTAGGGTGACAGGTGTACATCTTAACATGTGTACTGGACTTGCACTAAAAAATTGGTTCTGGTTGCTTGTTGGCACTTACTTCCCGTCTTTAGTAGGAGGAAGCGAACATTATTCACTCTATTATCCTGTGAGTAAACATTTCACCACATTAATGGAAGAATCTGGATACTTCCATATACAGGCTACCAAACCAGATACAGTTGGTGAGAGATTTTTGCATATACATTGTTAAAAGTAATCAGCGAGTTATACGAACTCAAATTCATAAAATTTGTAAAATTATCTATTAGGAGTTGGACTATCATCCGCACCAGATGGTTTGGCAGCATACATCTTGGAAAAATTCAGTACATGGACAAATAAAGAATACAGATCACGAGACGATGGTGGATTGTTAGAAAAATTCACACTGGATGAACTTCTAGATAACGTAATGGTATACTGGATCACAAACAGCATTACTACGAGTGCTCGTCTTTATGCGGAAAACTTTAGCTCGCCAAATAGAGCTTTGAAAATTGACGAGTAAGTTTAAAACTATAGTACTTTTTATAAGATACATTTAAGCGATATATTAGACAGGGAAAATATCATATGGATTTTCTTTCAGATTACCTATAAAAGTCCCTACAGCTTGTGCAGTTTTCCCCTCTGAATTATTAGCATTGCCTCAGAGTCTGCTTACAGGAAGATATCCTAATATAATTCAACATAATGTTTTGCCGCGTGGAGGTCACTTCGCAGCTTTTGAAGAACCAAGACTTTTAGCTGATGATATTTTCAGCTTCGTGAAAAAAAACGAGGAGCTTAAAAAAAAATCTTCATAGAATGAAGAATTAAATTAAGAGAACTTTGATAATAATATTTCCATTTCCATTGATGTACCTTCTTGAAGTGTTTCAATAAATTGTTGTATATATTTCATATTAAATATGAAAACTTAAATCGTTTACATTTATTATCATTTACAACATAGTCTATGTTACACTGTCAAATATAAACATATTTAACAAATTCACCCCATTCGAGCGGCACCAGTATTAAACGTGTCTGATCTATTTTATAGATTACTTTTAGATTTCATTAAACGGTACCAGCGCCAGACTTTTCAACATTCTCCAACAAAGTCTGTAAATTGGACTCAAACAGTTCGCATCTGATTGGCATTTCCAATGAGTAAAATGGATTTTTTAAAGCATAATCCGCATATAATTCAAATACCCTTTTCAATAAAATTTCTATTCCACTTTGTGTAGGTTCGGCGACGACAATGAATTTGATACCAGTTAATGTTTGGTAACAATGTAATCTAAATGTATCAGCTTCCAAAATTTCAATTCCAGAACAACGTGGTTCAGGACTTAACTGACTAGCAATTGCAAACAAAGGATAAAACATAGATGCTAGAAAAATCTTTTCATTCGTTGTCATTCTGGCACGACTAAATCGGAGCGATACAGGAAAATTTTCTGGCTGCTCAAGCAGTTCAAATACATCTTTTCCATTTTCTAATTCTCTTCCTACCACAGGACTTCCATTTACTGCTGTTAATGCATGACCCACTGCAATAAGTGAATTAAATGGTTAATATAATTATCATTTGTTTTTAAACTAAATAAAAATTTTATTGTTACCATTTATTCCATCCTTTTGGCCAAATGATACAACCACCTTTTTGTTTTCATAACCTAACTTTATATCTAGCGGGTAATTAAATGTCTTTTCATTCTCAATTCGTGGAACATTGTGATCGTGATTAAAAATTAGTCCACCTGATTTTGATACGATATAAACACCGTAAATAACCATTGTTAAGCACACATTTACAATATGTTTTTTATAAGTTTTACTGTTTATACTTTAACTGTCAATGTCAATTATTTTTTAGGTTATGTCCTATTTGTAATTCATGAGAATACCAACATATAAAATTTGAACAATTGTTATCAAATCGTGCTTTTTATTCCACAATTCTAAATATACTTATATTATGGAAGAAAGTTCACATTTCTCTCATAACATTTACAAAAATGATCCTGTATTATTTAAAAATTATGTTGGTTTCAAAGTGAACATTTTGACTGAAGATGGTACCACATCTTCCGGCGTTGTTTATACAGTTGATCCTGTATCAGAGAGGTTAGAAGCTTTAACATTATATTTACTTATAAATTCTTATTTATTGTTATATTTACAATAATTGATAAATTACAGTGTTGTACTGCTACAGGATTGCCAACAAGATCATTTAAAAATCGTGTTTGGTCATGCAATAAAAAACATAGAAATTTGCATGGACAAACCATGTGATTTACCGGAATTGTTTATGAATGCACCAACAAATATTCTTCGATCGACATTAGAAGAACGAAAAAATGCTGTGATAAAAATACTTCGAGAAAATAGGTTTGATGTAAAAGAAGAAAGTGATATTTTAACGGTTGAAAATGTCCTTTCAATAAAACCGCCGTATGAGCCTACCGATTGTATTTGTGCTAATAGCATTATTTTAGGAAGAATTCAAAATCTTCTTTCCCGCATTTCAACTTAATGTTTCAAACAATAAACTGGGAAGTTGATTAATGTTTTAATTATCGTGTGCATTGTTTACAAATACAATAATTAAAAACTGTTACATCATTTAATGAAATTGCTTTTTTAATTCAAGATGTTTCCCAAATAGGTAATCAAAGAATTACAGAGAAATACAATTTCGTTTTGAAAAAATTTTATTTTAAAATTTAAATTCTGTTTTTTTTTACCATAAAATATTTTTCTATCTTAGATATGTAAAGTAAAGCTCCGTCGATATAAATTAATAATAGATAAACGTTTGATTTACAATTAATTAAGTTGAATTTATTGTTGAATTGTATTACTTTTATTAGACGAAGTGAGCTTAGACTTATTTTGTCAGAACAAAATATATCTTACTCTTTAAGAATAAATAGTTTATTTAGTAGAGGTATGTTAAAATAACTTCTACAGTTCTTTTCAAAATTTCTGAATTTTAGTTTAAAAAACAATCAACCCTATAACATTTTTAATAATTTAAATACGTAATTCGAAAATTAAAAGTACCCGAATCTGTTATTTTAAAAATGTGCGCGCATTTCTATGCTCTATTTAGAATGAATTACTTCTATTTACAATAATAATTTTAAAAACATAAAGGAAACCAAAAGATTACAGAGAGAAATTTTAGACTACTATCACATAATTTAAAGTGTCATGATATCAATTTTGAAAGGAAAGAGAAGCATATCGAATTTTTTCACTTTAAACCTTTTACTGTGGCCATTGAGTTTGACAAATATATTTGTCTTATGCAGTTAATATGGACATTAAATGTTTCAAGTACTCACCTTAGCTGTTTACTACGGTTTTAAGTTTCTTAATAAATATATGCGGAAAAATACTAGCTATGAAATATAGACGATTCTGGCAAAGCTCTGTTCGATGTGCTATTACCTAAAACATTCACCACAGCAAAAGGATTAAAGCTTGATGTAAAAGCTCAGTATAAAATAAATGCAGTTGCGGCAGTGCGCCGATGCAAAATACGGCAAAAAGCTTCAAGTATTAGAAAGAAAAAAAAAAGAATAAAGTCTCTGTTCGACCTTTCCCCTTTTCTAGAAAAATATCGAACTTCTAGTTTCTCTACTGGCTTGGAGAAAAAACTAAAAATCTACTTGCGAATTACTTTGTTAAAACTACCTTGTGGATCTATATAGAATCTGTTGGCATATCACAGTCGCCGATATGTGCATATGCCTCTACGAGCCTGGTGCACGTAAAATACGGGGCAACCGAACTCTGACGCACTCTTGGCTTCCCCATTAATATTTAATAATTCGTTGTATGCTGTTTAAGAGATCGTGAAAAAACATCTAACATCGCTGTACGTATCGAAGAAGAAGAAGAAGAAGAAGAAGAAGAAAAAATTTCTAAACTAAAGGATCATTAATTCTTAATTTTACATTAGATTGAGATAAAGAGATGCTCGTCGATTTTATCGATGAAAAATCTTAATCATTTGTGGTGTACTTTAATTAAGCGGCATAACTTGTGCATCAATGGAAAAGCATATAAAAGAATGCGTGTAGAGTTCTTCCAAGGCAGTGTCTCTCTCCATAGAAGTAAAAAATGCTTCTTTGGAGCAAGGTAAATATCCTAGAGTCTATTTTTTACGCAGTAGGTCATTCGGTTTCCCCATCGGAATAATATTCTATGGGAGCTGGGTCACGAAATTTTCGAGAATATCTTAAGCCCAAAGAATCTGCTAGACTTTCAATGCGTGAGAGTACCTAGGATGATAAAAATAAAATAAAAATTTCAATCAAAACCAACAGGTTCTGTAATACGAAGCAAATAAACTATAGTTTAAAAAAAAAAACCGCTGGTTTCACTTACATAATCTAACTGTTGTTTGGTATGCGCAGCAGAAAGACAAAACCGTATTCTGCCTTCCATCAAAGGAGTTGCTGGAAATCCAACACCAACTGCCGCTATGTTATACGTCGTCAAAGTTCGCACGACTGCGCTATTAATTTAAATAACAATTACAGTTTTATAGTTCACTATTCAGTATCTCAATGTTGAATACATACCCAATCTTAGAAAACAAATAGACTAACATAGGTACAACAGGCGAATCTTCGTTTCCATAAATAATGACTCCAATCTGATTGAGTCTACGCCTGAAATACTTAGTGTTTCTTGCTAACTGTTTCGTTCTTTTTTCCCCTTCGTCCGTACCATCTTCACCAGCAATTATTTTCATTGAAGTAATTATTTGTTGAGCTACTGGCGGAGACATGGCGGACGCATAAGTATGCGCGTGACTGTATATCCTTAAATGATTGATTAGTGTCTAGAATCGTACAACAATCACTATTATTGCTACTTTTGAAAACGATAACGAAATATAAATATATATTTCACTGCAAGATAATATATGCATGACTGTTACTTTTGATCCAGCAATATAGCCACCAGCAGATCCAAAACTCTTTGTAAAGGTTCCCATAAGTATATCCACTTCTCGTGGATCAATTCCATAGTAATCACAAACACCCCTTCCGTGTTTACCCAATGCCCCGGTGCTATGGGCCTCATCCAAATAAAGATAAGCCTACGATAGACAATTAAAATTAAATATTAAGAATGATTACCACAATTATACAGAAACAACTCTATTTACTTTGTATTTTTTCTTAAGTTCGATAATTTCAGGTAAATGTACAATAGAACCTTCCATAGAATAAACACCTTCTACAACAATTAATATCTTCTTCCAAGGTTCTCCGCTTCCTGGCTGACCATAAACTATTGCATTTTGCAGACAAGTCTCTAAATGCTTCACATCTAAACCAAAACAATTTTATTTATTCATCTGTAGTTTACCTCGGAAGAATTTTTATTTACTTTCAAGCCTACCATTGTGTTTGAACACTCTAACGGTAGAACAGGACAGCCTCAATCCAAGTATCAACGAGGCATGATTTTTCTCGTCGCTGAGTACCAAGCATCCTTTAGTTAGGAACGAAGGTAAATTAAGAGCGTTCGTTGCGAAGCCCATTCCAAAGACAATCGCGTCTTCCACGCCCAGAAATCTGGCCGTTAACTGTTCCAATTCTTCGTGGATTGGCATGTTTCCTAGATACAAAGCAACAAACAATGAAAATCTAACAATATGGAGTATCAAATTGATGATAACAATGAACGAGAGTAAATTACCAAGCTCGAGGCGAGAGCTGCAAGTGGTACAACCGAATTTTTTCAAAGTCTCGATACTATGATCGGCACATTTGCCATCCGACTCAGCGAAACCTAAATAATTGTACGATCCCAGATTGATACATTCAGTGGTCGTTCCTGTAAATCTAAAGAACAATATATTAAAGAAACAAATTTATCTTGCACTATTTTGAAATGTACACATGTGAAACAAGAATTAAAAAGTTAAACGACTATCTTGATAATAATTTAAACAACACCGAGCTATTAATATTAGAACGACAAGAAAAAAGGGGAGGAGCTTTTGTTTAAAAACAATTGTTTTAACAATGAAACGCGGTGAATCTAATCGGAGTTTTCGAATTTGATTTTCAAATTATAAGCCTGTTTTCGCATTCGCTGGCCGTCTAATCTCATCCAGTTCTTCATTACATTTAATCAAGACAAATGTCTGCCTTCCTGTATCACCGATAGCGTTACGATTTTCAAATCTGTGCAGTTTCTCACTGGCAATGGACTAAATATCTGATGGGATCGCTTAGATATTATGCTATGATTCATTCAGATTATGTAACATAATAAATAAATGATTGAGGTATTATAAATCAAGTCCATTTCTCAACATTCGGTCTGTAACTATCGGCAAACTAATTAATTAAATAATCAATTATTCAATGACTTTTGATCAAATAATGTGAGTTTAACGTTTGATTACCAACATCGCTTGGTTTTTCTTTCATAATTCATTAACTTACTGAAACGTCCATCCATAATCTCGTGTTATCCTATCTTTAAGCGTAACAGTGGCTCCTGGAACAGAACATATCGGCCTGTTCCAACAATCTCTGACTCTTCGGTAAACATATCGAAGGTAAAATTCTTCGAAATGTTCATAAAGCGGCGCGTAACCCTGTAACAATCAATTTTCGCGATTAAATAATAACGATTATAATAAAATAACTTACAGCTGCAATAAACATACAGCTGCAAGATTATCGATAACTCAAATTAATCATGCGTTTAATGACTCATTCGAAATTCAAAAGTAAAAGAAATGACATCAATCGCAACGTAATAAATTTGAAAAATCAATCGATTACGAATTTTTTTTTTAATTTCCTGGAAAGATAATTATATTTATAATTAAATATTCCCGGTTACGTGCAACTTTTTATTCAAACGTTCAGCAACAGTTTCGTTTGGTCTAAGAAAACGTCGCAAATTTTCTTTTTCGAGAAGCTCCCTTTATCTCTATGAAGTAAATTATCGTGTGTACTCGTGGTGAATCGAAACTGCGGCGTGAAAAGAGGATAATAGGTTTCCGCATGTAATCGTCGCAAAAAGTTCGTTTCGATCGTCGGCCAACGTTGCGGTATTCGTTCGACCGACCTTCAGTAATCGGTTTCATACCTAGGTCCATGTATATTTTACAATTGCAATCGTTTTATAAACTGTAACACCTTGAACTTGAGAATTTCTTTCTGGGATAGACCTGGTTCCTTAGAAATTTTGAAATTTTAAGAATTTTGTAATTCTAGAATTTTCGAATGAAAGCCCGCACTTTTGGGAAGAGGACCAGGTCCTTTCCAATGAATAGCATCTTCAGAACGCAATTCTGGTATAATAATAGAGGCGAAAGATGAAACTTGGAGTATCTTGTATATTCTTGAACAAAGAAAGTCAGTGAACTTGTTCGAAGAGTGTCATAGAATAGATTGCTCTTGAAACATTCTTAGCGCCTTTCATCGATCCTTTTTTTCCTAGAAAAATCTAACGATACACTGGACTCACGTTCAAACTCTACAGGTGCAAAAAAAATTAATCGGCGTACCAATCAACGTTCAATATATACCGTTATAAATAAAAATGAGTTTGATACTTCGGATAACTTTGCATTTTAATGGTACAAAGTTATGATTATCTTACCTCTCTATTGTACTCTTTCGCGACTTTCGGTGTGAAAAACAGTTGGTTAATAAAACCGAGGAACATAAGAATATAGAAGCCGAGGTGGGTCAGTGCAGCTGTGATGAACGGTACCCTCTCGAACGACTCCTTCGACCTAGATGTAACCGGCTCCGACTTGGTTTCTTTATCTGGAAACTAATTAAAATTTCAACATGTATTTGTCATTTATTGCGTAAATTGCACATAGTTACATTTAACTATCATTCGGTTCAATTATTAACGAAATAAGTAGTTTCTCTAGGCAGCATGGTAGAAAATTAAATTTTATTTAAATATTCCAAATTTTCCTTAACTACAATTGAATTCATGTACTTTCTTAATTTATTTACTAGGTCTATCCTGTCTCAGCTGGCTATTGCCTATCGTCAACCATTAAGAGCCTAGTTATTAACGATAACTTTGCTGATAAATAATGTTATCTTTAAAGGTATAAGATAATGGCAATTCCTTGAAATGTTAGATATTGCGATCTTTAACGCGTTGATCGCCACAGTGAAAATGGCCATTTGTTATAGGACGTATCGAAGCTCTAATTATTAAGAATAATTAATGATTAATTTTCAAATTTCAAATTTCAAATTTTAAGCTTCCTATTTAAAATAATGTTTTTCTATTGTTTTCTTTTAATTATTCAAGCATGTGTAATTTGCGGTGTCGGTCACCGGTGACCCCCATGGCGTTCAACGTATTAATAGGAAAAATAGGATTTTTGAATGAATTATAAACATGAATCGAAGAATGGTGTAATAATTTACTATTACCAGATAAGCACTGCAATGATTAACTAATACATAACAGATAAGCGTTAGAATAAATTTTTATCGCAAGCGAGAATGCCTCCAGCACATTACAAAAAAAAAGAGAGAGAAAAACGCCAAAATCGATAACCCCGTCACTGTACGGCTTTTTGACGCGTTACGAACGAAAACGAAAGCCGAAAAATTAAAATCTTAATACTCGTTACAAACAAGAATAAATATAAATAATTTGAACGTTTTTAATTTTTTATTTAATTCGTTTTTTCTCTCTCGTAACTTTCTGCGGGAATTAAATACTGTTAATAATCAACTATTACATAACGACATCTTTGACTTTTAACATTTTAAACGTCGCCAATGAGGCGTTTAGTGAACCGATCTTCTCACCAGTTAAATGACTGGTGATTTAAGAGGATCTTTATTGAAGCGACATTTAGTCACCTTAAACTTCATTCTTATAAGTCAACACTATTCGATAAGGTTCCCTTATCACTGTTGGGCTTCGAGGTTAATGTCGATGTTAATTGGCAAGATGGAAAATCTTACGACATGGTATTGAAAGCGAACGTTCGTACATTAAATCGAAATATTTCGTTGAATCCTCGTCACGTGACGGTATTTATAAAAGATTTGTAAATAATAGCTTCTAGGTAAAATAAATGTTTATCAACATTGCGAGAACGTATTAAAATTTGTGCCGCTAAAAGTGGATATCGATAAGTTTCTGATAATTTGAATATTACGGAATTCTGTCAGTAATTGTACAGTTTCTATTATCGAACAAATGTAATTTCATTAGACGCAAAAGGAAAAGATACATTTATTATAATTATAACAATATTTTAAATAAAGGTACATGGTAACATTCATGAATTGGTAAAATGAGGATTAACACTATCAAGTGTAAATTCGTGAATTGAAACTTGCTTGAAATGGTATAGAAATAATTCAGAGGCACAGCTAACTGTATTGGAAATGTTTTAAAACAAATTTCAAATTCGATCTTTACACACTACTTCAAGAACTTTAGCTTTAATATTCAAGTAGGAGACTCTGTTACGGATGATATAGGCATTGTTGGCTCGCTTTTCAGTAGAAAATATTGAGTGTTTAGTAATTTACGTGTGTAACTGAAAACTAAAAATATTAATCGTGATAGTTCCATCATTTGAATTTTCGTTAAATAACAGAACTTTTAAACAAAACTAATACGCGTGACAAGTGACGATCTAACCTGTACACGTCCATTGCTTTGCGAACCGGCATGACCATTAGCCAGGACGCCTTCGTGAAAGGTTAAGCCATTTCTACTGCGTATTTTCTCTTCGTGCTCATTCAACCTTCTCCTGGTGGTAGTCTGCGTCGCCATTTTGCAAAGGGCGAATCTTTCACCAAACGCTGTAGGACCGAAGAGAGAAGGAGAGAGAAAGAGGAAACAGTGAGTGCACGCGTCAACACGCTACGAAGCACAATCAAAGACTGACGCTCAGGCCACGCGTCGAGATATTAGCGACGCATGCGCATTTCGCGACCGCGATTTATGGAGAAATGCAGGGATACGCGGTCCTGCGCATGCGCATTGCAAATGGATTAGTGTGATTATTCCTACGAATTAGTGCACAATTGAGAATAGTGATAATTAAACTAATGAACTTCTAGATCGAAATTAATTTAGCTTTTAATAACTCTCAAGAACAAAGATATCTATTAAAATCAAAGGCAACATAAATCAATTTATCTATTTTATTCGTAATTAAAATTTGAAAATGATGTATCTAATATACCGTTCAATTTATATTTGACAAGTAATCCAATGTAAGTTAAAAATATTTACGTTTCTTTATGTGTTATTATATATTTCTATAAGCTTTATTATAAGTGCCGACTTAAAATTTCAATAAGTATTTATTAATCTCATATAGGTATATAAATTCACATCTTTAAAAAGATTATTTATAGGCTCCCTTTTACTTTCCGAGTACATATTTCAAAAAATTCGTTATTCACCGCTGTAGGACCATGATTTAATGCAGGATACCTGGCCTGCTCATGCGCGTTGGTGTTTCGTATACATTTTCGCATCTGTATATACGAAAAGCCGCAACAACTTATAGGTAGCAAATGAAACATCTATACACATTATATCGATTATTTATATTTATTTTTCAATTAAACCTAATGGATTAGTCATCGAAATGATAATAGTAATGATGAAATAAATCATTGTTTCAAACTAAAATATTGAAAGGATTGCAGTCGAGCACTTTGGAAAGTTTTTAACCTAAAAAGTAAAAAGTTTTTACACGTCATACTACTTAAGTAACTATTTCAATGATCTTTTTCCTAGTGTCTATCAATGTTTAACGTAATACTTTATTATGACATGTGAAATCATCATCCACACGTAGACTTTCTGATGTGACTCATTGTTCTAACTCCCGTATCTCCCTCCAGCTTTGTAACAAGGTGGTAGGAGAAACAAGCTCAATTTTTATTGGCTTAGTCAGGAACGAACAACAATTACTAAGTCCCAGCGTTAAAACCTACAATATTATCAGATAAAATTTATATTTAGTAATAATAAATAGAAGTATTCAACATGTACTGTTTTTTTTCAATTTTACATTTTACATTTCAAAAGTATTGTACTTATGTTGTTCCACATTTTTATTCATAGTTGAACAAATTGCAACCGACTTAAATAAATGATATAAGTAAATCTGTAATCTTTGCAAAATATATTTTGCAAAACCATTTATTTGCGTGACTTATCACCCTTTATGTATACATCCCTGGCACAGACGGTAGTGGTGGGGAGGAAACCCTCCTATGCACACCCTGTGTGAGATACTCTGTCACAGACGTGCTTTAGAATCGAACCCACCCGTGAGAGTGAACGTTAAACCGGTTTTTTCTTATTTAACGTCTGTAATTCATTGTTAAAGTTTAAACAAAACGCTGTGTGTTATATAAAAACACGTAAATAATATTGCGAAAAAGAGCTGTTAAACTGTTGAATGAAATAAAGTTCGTACAAGTGAAACTTCATATATAACAAGGTGATAAAAACGAAGTGGAACGTTAACATTATCGTTACGAGATATTTTTCAAAGACTTTAATCGTTGGACAGCCGAGAGATCTTTAAAACAAGTTGAAATCAAATTTTTATTTAGTAGTTGTTCGAGAAAACGAAAACTATTAAAAGTGTTCCAAAAGGATACTTGAATTCTATGACAGGATAATTGTCTCCTCGCGTGTAGCAAAGATGGCCGAGTTGAAGGAACAACCAATCAGAAGGGAGCACGATTCGATGGACGATTTTGAGCATCTCGAACACGTCCAGGATGGACAATCAAGTCATCTGGAGGCCCATACGGAAAAAGTACAAGAAAATCAGGAACACAGTTTGAACATGGAAAAGGATATGATTAATTTTTCACCTAATCAAACGGTAAACGAACCGGAAGATCCTAGAAAAGCGACGCTGCTTCTGTTAGAGTCGGAGAAAGGTAAACCGGCCGCGGAGGATAATTTTGAGGTTAGACCGAAGGAACCGGAGCACGATTTGTTGATGGGTAAGATAGAAGATCACTCAGAAGTTATGAACGTTGAACCGATCAGCAAAAAGGACGAAGAAAAACAGAAACCCGTTGAAAAAGCAGAAATTAAAGACAAGAAAATCGTTGATCACGAACCGGCAGTCGTTTCTTCCACGGAAAAAAAAGCGGACGATGCATGGAATGTTATTGAAAAATCTCAACCGATTGTCGAATCTATTTCGAAGGAACCAAAAAAAGATACCAGTGCCAGTGAATATGTGCTCGCTGAAACAGGAAAGAAGGAACAAATCAGTGCGCCGGTAAGCAGGGAACTTGAATTTGAATCGGAACCAGAAGAATCGCCGGCGAAAAGCTTCAAGTCTGTAAAGCAAGATTCAAGAACGGAAAGAATAGAAGAAGTGGAAATTGCGCCAAAGGAGATTTTCAGCAGCATGGGAATTGGTGAGTACATATGTACGTCTAATTGTTTTTTAAATATGATTTTTCAATACAGAAAGTTTACATATATCTGCGATAGATTAGCAAATCACCGGTTAGATCTATAACCGGTGTCGAAGTTGACTCGTATGATAGTTACAGTATATTAATATAATATTTCTGAGACACCGTATTATGATTGACGACCTCCAAAGTTTCGAAAGCAGAAACTGTTGGTACATGTGTACCAGAGTATTAATTAATTTAGCATCTTTGCACGAAGTGAGCCACACTTCCGCTTGGCTACAACGTCATTGCTTTTCTGAGCCGTAACGATGCGATTATTTATTCCATACACGTCACGCTCCTTTTTAAGATGTTTTCTTATTCCCTTGCCAATTTAACAAGAATCCGATCCGCGAAAAATATTTTTCGCCCTCTGTTCTATATAATTCTGTCGTCTGGAAGAAAGAAGAAACACTTGAGAGCCTTGTATCAAACAGATTGCGCAGCTTCGAAATGAAAATATTTGATTGCGCAGATAAACTGCGCATTTCCAGATCATGATTCACCGATAACTGCGCATTGCTTTTTCACGGCAACATTATTAACGTTTAATAAATGTTTATTTCCGTATGAATCGCGATTAGTATCATTGTATCTTAATTGTATACAATTATGTAATTTCAAGTCGATCCTATTATCGTAATACGAAGTCATCGTTCTCAGAGATAAATAGTGTCCTTATACCGTTACTTGTGTACGATTACACGACGAGTAACGGTAGTGAAAGATTTCGCGTTTGTAATTGTATGCACATATTCATATGGTTCTTATTAGCTCTGTCTTATTAGGAGTACCATAGCCCCATTAGCACCTTATAACATCGTCTCATGAACATCCGCCATTATTAATATTAATTATAAATTTCTTTGGAATAATACAATAGTTGGGTAATAAATTAGTGATCTCTGAACTTGAGACCGCGCATAGGTATGCGTCATCGTAGAACAATGCGCGAGATACTGTGCGAATGGAGGTATGTTTTTGGTTTTTTCTCATCATCAGTTCGGAGGAAGAATATTGTTTAAGAAATATTTAGCCTTCAACGTTGGTATTTGAAGTAAAGGATGAAAGGTCTGATCAATACAATAGATTTAGAGGGGATAGGACTTGGGTGAAGTTACGGTATATCACACCATACAGGGGATCTAGGTGTACATTTTGCGTATGGTTTTCACCGTGAATCGAAGTCAACCGTATCCTCTCTGTATATTGATCCACCAGCTGCCTTATGACGTCCTTCGGTTGAACCAATGGGAACATTCAATCCATGGGAAAATTTAACCTTACCATAGAATCCTGGATTAAAATTTTGTTTCAGACAAAATTAGGGACGAAGAATGATACATCAGATTTATTCCTTCCAGGAAATGAAATTGTATCCCAAAATAAGTTTTCCTGAGCAAGCTGTTTTCGAAGTAAGATTTTCGTTCTTCGAGAGGTATTTTTATACGTTATTTCAGAGCGAAAAATTTTACCTCTGACTCACGAGATATTTTCGACCGTCGCACACAACAAATCACGTTGTTCTTTAAGCTTCTTTTTGATATTTGAAAGAAAATAAAAATTCATATATGCCTAAACAATTGATACAAAAATATTTGCAATTTTCTTTCCGAGGACGCCCCTAACATTTGAGAGGGAAACCTCCTGAAATCTTATTTGGGAGAGATGGAATATATAAAAATATATTTTTATTATTCTATATATAGCATTCATTATTTTTATTAATGAAACTTAATTTATTTTTGTAGAATTTCGTTTACCGGTTTCTACTTGACAGGGACCAGTTATATTTATAATTACCGCCATCTTGTAGCGTACACGAAAAGTTACTATACATTTTCGCCGTGTAGCGTGCCATCTATTTGAAATCAAATGTAACTAGTGGAAGCCTTATCGTCTTCCATTCGCCGCTACGCGGCGCGGCATAGCCAATAGTATCGTAGAAGTGGTGGGGATAACTCGAACTGTCTACGGGTCGATAATAATCGTTAGTTCTGTTCTAGCTTCGAGGTGTAGAGTGTCGTTGGAGGAGTTCGTAATTTAAATTACACGAAGTTTTTTTCTAACGCTAGTTTTTCAATTCTTTCGTACAGATAGGCGGACGTACGGTCCAGGAAATACTTGAATGCAAATAAGTCAGTGTCAAGATAAGTAAAGGTGAATAAAAATCAGGGAGAAAAAGTTTGTGTAAGAAAGTGCGTTTGTTCCGCGCTGGTTAAATTCGATTATCGAGGTAGTGTTCGAATGCGATACGTCTTTAGTTCCATCGCGACGCAAGGTTAGGTGAAGATGGAAACGGAGCCGGTGTGCCCTATAAATTTACCTGCTAAGGAAAAAGACGACGCTGGTGCTGTTTGCAAGAAGCCATGTTCCAGTGTAGCTAATGGGAGTCCTTGCTTCTGGAATATTCTTGATCCGTGTATGTGTATTTATTTATTACTTTTCTTTCATTCGATACGACGTTCATCTATGATGGTGGTCGAAGTATAAAACATGTCACGCATAAGTTTGACGTAGGAAGCCTATTACATGTCTTGATTAGTGGGGCGTTTGCTAACGAAAGGAGCGCTTTATCCGATTTATATTGTTAATATTATTTATATTAAAATGTTCGAGTGATGAATTACTTATGATTTATTAAATATTTAATGTATTAATTAGAATATTGTTTGATAAAATCAATGTGTTATGCTAACAATTTATCAAATTACAGTAAAAAAACTTAACATTCTCATTTGCATATTTTAAAATATAAGATTCTTTCAAATGACTATCAAAAGAATTTTACCTTTAGTAAGGTGTTAAAAAACATAACTATGCATAGTTACAGAAGATCAGCAAATTTCCAAGGTTATACTACTCAGGAATCTGGTTTCTATTATAAGAAAATCTTAGCTCCTTAATTAAGCTTCTTAGAGCTTAATTAATATCTCAAATTTTATGACGGTACGTCATTAACACGCTATTTATCAATACCAAAAATAATATTAAGATACCACGAAGAGAAGAATCTCTTAAATTTTTCCCTCGCTCCAATTTAACTCTCAGTACTTGAATTTGTTTATTTTACCATAGATAAAAAAAACTTTGTTCATTTAATGCCTCTGATATAAATTGAAGTGATAACGGATCGTTTGTGATAATTGGAAAAAAGGAAGAGGAAAAATATACAATTTTATAGCTCCGGGTGAATCGACTGTCTGACATGCGCAGTGGACACGCGATTTCTAAGTGGGTTATTGATCGGCGGCTATCGGTTTTTATAAATATATTGCACACTGAACATTACCAATAGTAATTTTTTATATAATAATAAGTAGCTGTAGATCAATCGAATTTTTTTGGTAAAAAAAAATTATATAAATGATTGTAATGATAATGCAGATAAATTCTAAGCTTATCAAAATAGATAGCTTATCGTCAAATTCCATCGTCACGTTTTCAAATTTAATTCTTAGACCCTGTCAATATTAGCCTTAGAATGACTGGTCATTTGTAACCCAAGTCATTTGAAATGAATCATGCAGCTCTGAGACATACAAATTTTTCCCAAAATCAAATCCCAAACAATTGGTCTAATAGATTTTGATAAAATTTAAATTTTACTTTATCAAAGATCAAGTACGTGTTAATTTGTTATCATGAAATGATACAGCAGTATAAGTATCCAGTTAATTTGAAACAAAATGTTGATAACAATCAATTAGTAGGAATTACATAAGAAGAAACAATTCACGTCTACGATTATTGCATGTAATCTACAAGATAAACCATATTTTCAATCATATTTTTCACTTCTGATAAGAGTGATAAGATTGTATTTCATTTTGCATTTACCGAATCAATTAACTCCAAAAAAAATTGATAATTAAGCATCAGTTAAATGCTTTGGCAGTAAAACTCGAAATAATTTCAAGAACTTATGAAAAGTAATAAAAAAATTGTGTGTGCGGATTTTCAGACGGATAGCCTGTTCAAAGTACACAGAGATGTAGAGATAGATATCCCGAGGTCACCGATTGCATAATACTTTACGGTGTGTGCTAATTACGCCGGTTCTTGCCAATCGATTACTATTTCAAGTTTACCTTACTTCTCGACAGATTATTTTTATGATACTTTCTTAAGAATTTTACGGCACATTCGCGATGAAATCAGGTTCCCCCGGGAAAAATGACGCCCCCGCTTCTCACCCTTCCTCTTGGGCATCCCAAGAGGAAATGACGGTGCAGCGCAGGGAACTCCCTATATATAGGCATGTGGCGGACCACTTTCGTATAGATGTTTTCGCGCGGGAAAATTTGAATTGTATTTACTTTGTTCTTCGTATTTTTCAGTCGTATACTAAATTGTATAATATATAATGATTAAAAATAATGCTATTTTGTTTTTAAAACACTTTTAATATTAACATCGTCAAAATTAAAATTACGAGAATCACTGCATCTTTCCTAGGGAACCCTGATTTGGTCGCGAGCATAATTCTGGAATTCATTTTTGTTTCAAGCGCGCAATTGATGTGATATTGAGAATAATATTTCAAAGTTGTTTTTAAACTCTGCGTTAATTAGCAAACTTAGGAAACTTTCCCTGCAGAAATGTAAAAATGATATCTCAGTGTGTGGTTTTCAGAACATTTTTCTGCGGTTAAGTCTGGGTTAGATATTACGTACTGGCCGATTCTAATGTTTCTATTTAACTAAACAGTTACCATGGAACGTACTACTGTCAGAATGAATTTTTATAACAGTTGTCGATTGGAAATCGAAAATGTCATCGTGATTGTTCGACGTGAAAATTACCTACCATTTCAGCAATCAACAGACCATCCTTTTTTTTTCTACTCTTACGTCATTTATTCATGTCACGAATCATCGTAGAGTAGAAGTAAATCTGTGATTGTCGATTATGAAAAACTAACATGTTTCGATTCTGTTCTTTACAGACGCATGGTTTAACCCTGATAGACTGAATCCAAAAGGTAAGAGAAAAACCTCGACGTCGATGTTCTTCGTTCAGGCTTATATGTGTTCTTTTATTTTGCATAAAGTTATTTTTCTTATCTTTAAGCGTTGGCATACATTAAGACGGTATAAGCGAAAATAGCATATTCTGTTTTTATTATGCAGTGTTTATCATATACAGGATGATCCACTTCTTCATCCTTAAAAATGCTGTTATTTCACGTAACGAAAAAAAGACTAAATATTTTTCATGTTGGAAAATATTTGCATTGGTGTAAATATGTAAGGGGGCAGTCCTGACCCCCTTCACTGTTATAAAATTCTAAGATTATAAAATATATTAGTAAATCTAGGAGACCTAACTGACCTTTAAAAAAATCCTAGTTACGCCAATGAATATGAATTACTTATTAACATTTTGATTATTGCCACTACATAGTAATTGCAAATTGAAAATGGCTAATTATATAGCAACATAATTAGCATGACTTCAGATCACCTGTAGTTATTTTTATCTTCTATTAGTAAACAGAATAGAAGTCATAGTTTTGAATCTTGTTCAGATATAAAAAGGAACATGAGATTGCAAGTCATTGCAAATTACAGTAGTTGGTCGTCAGAATGTTAAATAAAATCATCGTATTCAAGTTTTACAACCACGTTGAGACAAGTTCAATATGTCCAGGAAAAAAGGATAAAAATAAATGAAAATGATCGAATAAACATGTACATATGTTCTGGATGGTAATGCACAGTTGCACAACGTTGAAATGTCTCTCTTGATTCTCCAAAGACCTTTGAACCGACTGAATAACTTCCCGTGAAAGATTACAAGTCTATTATTATATTTCTCTGCGTATTGACTCGGCAATGTTTGCTCATTGATAACTATGTGATAAAAGTAATGTATTGACTACCAAGAGGGTCGACGATGACCAGTACCGTAATTCTTTAAGTTAGTTCTTAATTAATTCTTAATTTAGAAATGGATCTAACTCAAGTGAGACGAGTATTATAAATTTAGGAATATAGAAATTTCAAATATTTAATTTAGAAATATAGAAATTTCAAATTATTTAATTTAGAAATATGGAAATTTCAAATTTTTTAATTTAGGAACATATAAATTTCAAATTTTTTAATCTAGAAATATAGAATTTTCAAATTTAAAAATGAAATAATTGACTACCCATCAGTATCCATTAGGTACTATAAGAATTAGTATAGCTACACAATATTAATTCTATTAAAAATGATAAGATTCACGGTGTCGACCAGATGTTAACATGTCTTATCATTGATGTCCATTTCTACTGTGGCAAACAAGGTGTTAAGCATATCAGACGTGATTATCTCGTCGACGTGTTTCAGACTAAATTGCTCTTTATCCTAGCTAATGTTTCACGATGGAAATCGTTGTCTTGAATGTCGTACAAAGTATAAGGTCCACTGGTGTATATATTCAATTAACAGGAGGGAGACCAGGCATTTAAGACTCCATTTGCATGCACAATGGAATACTTTCGCCAACACTTCTCCATGGAGACACGCCTTATTGTTCGTTCTTTCAGATCCAATATGTCCCTCGAGCATTTTTAAATGAATTTTGAGTGCCATTTATATAGTAGAATTAAAAATAAATTCATAACTGTAAGTTACATTGAGCAGTGACTTCTGATCAGTCGGTAGACAAAAATCAATCGTAATCGAATTCGATGACTCACCAATGAATTTTTGTATTCTCCTCTAGTATTAGATGTGTGTTTCGACTTGGTAATACGATCATTTACAGTGTTGATTGTAATATAATCATTGCATAACCACGCTGTCTACCGAGTTTGGAACCGCTTCTTGAATCATTCTTCCCTTTCGCGCTGCTACGTCCAGTTAACTTCCTTGACGACTGCGGATAATGCCGTTCGAATGAATAAACAGTTTGGTAATTTGTATATTTGTCTTCCTTCTTAAGCCTTTGCCTTATCACGGCAAGACACTTGTGAGACACCAGTCGCGTAAGTTATATATAACATGAATTATGGATCCAAGATTCTACGATTCCCAAATTCTCAAATACTCGAATTTCCAAATTCCCAAATTCCATTCCTAATTTCCAATTTCCAAGCCCTCAAATTTCAAATTCCCAATTTCCAAGCCCTTAAATTTCAAATTCCCAAATTCCATTTCCAATTTCCAAGCCCTCAAATTTTAAATTCCCAAGTTCCATTCCCAATTCCCAATTTCCAAGCCCTCAAATTTCAAATTTCCAAATTCCATTCTCAATTTCCAAGCCCTCAAATTTCAAATTTCCAAATTCCATTCCCAAGCCCTCAAATTTCAAATTCCCAAATTTCATTCCCAATTTCCAATTTCCAAGCCCTCAAATTTTAAATTCCCAAGTTCCATTCCCAATTCCCAATTTCCAAGCCCTCAGATTTCAAATTTCCAAATTCCATTCCCAATTCCCAATTTCCAATTTCCAAGCCCTCAGATTTCAAATTCCCAAATTCCATTCCCAATTCCCAATTTCCAAGCCCTCAAAATTCCGAGATTCCAAGCTTCGCAAGATTCTCTCTCCCAACGTTTGTCGGTCAATTAATGTAAAATTGATCGAAACTGTACGGGTACCGATTTGAACTAGAAATTCGTTGGCGGTAGAATCCAAAAAAGCCAGAGACGATTGGCGGCTGGTTGGCGGTTAAATATAGTATCCAGCCGGTTCAAGTTTGGTCATCTGCCAAGCAATCCTCAAAGAGAACTCTCGCTTTTCGCCGAGTGCTTGGTCCGCAGTCAATCCTGTACCCCGAGTGCCGTATCCCGGCTCGAACTAGTCGCGTTTTCTTCGTTCTTCCCTCGAATCCAAGAGGGAGGAAGAAACGGAAGTAGAAGCCTCGAGGAGAAAGAAACATGGCCATCGATAGGGAAGAATGTGAGTAGATGAAGGAAGAAGTGCCTAGGTTTAATCGGAAGCGGTGGAGACGACAAGTGGCGGGCGTTGACAGGGTGCCAGTTGAAGATGGCAAAACGCGCAGACGCGTTACATCAGACCAATCGAGCAGGGTGGGAGAAGATTTTTGGAAAAGTTCATCGTTTTAACCGTCTCGTGTTTGAACCGAGATACCCTTTATAATTCAACAACTTCGATAAAAATTAAAAAAAAAAATAGAAAACATAGCGGGGTTATCGTTTCACAAGAAGGATCGAAATCGTTGATTTCAATGAAACATTTTCGAAAATTTTTAGTAAATGAAAACTAAAAATTTAGAACCTGGCGTTAATCATCTAGATTGATCGAGTTAAAAAGACAAACTTGACGATATAAAAAGGACAATCTTCATTTTGTCGTCGATGGGACGGAATTAAAGCTGCAGGGTACTTTGTATTGTTTGCCTGGGAACATTTTACTTTTAGGTTGGACAAGGTCCAACTTTCTGTCCGAAAGAATCTTTGTCCGCAAGTTCTGTGAACTAGAGAGAAAAAAAAAAAAAGAAAGAAATCGTGATAAGGGTTCGATGGTCAGAGACGTCCTGATGGTACTTGGTAAGCAGAACGTTGTGTAACACCGCAATGCGACAACTCGACTGGAAGCTGAAACAGCAATTTTCTTTCAAAGTGTAGAGCTCTTCAAGAATTCGATTGAGAAACAGTGAGAGTATTAATAGACGAATTCCTCGGTCGGTTTTCTGGTCTCGATTCTTTTGAATTCCATATTTTCCGCCAAAATAATGATTGCTTCCATCGAGTCTTACTTAAAGACTATAAAATCTCACTCCTTAATTTTAAATTAATCGTAGATTTATTTCGGTATAATTATTCGCAATTTTTGTTAGTATTTCAAATTCGCCATTAAATTCTATTTCTGATCCGAAGGCAATTCTTTTAAGCGATTGTATAATAAAGAAAATTCGTTAAGTTGTGATGGGAAGGAAAGGTTGTTATTTAAAATTCCATCCCCGGTGTATAATTTCCTGTAGAAAAGGGTATGGTAACGGAGGGTGAATCGTCGAGGGTTGAATCCACTGGCAGGTGTATTTCTGGGAATAGTAAGGGACGTCGAGGCAACGGCCGACACTGCGACGCCGGGCGTCGCACTACCAGAGACACCTTATTGATTTTCCACCACCAAACCGCACCCGTCCGTGCACTCTGTCTTCTTCTTTCGACACGTGAGACATAACCAATATTATACTTTCAAATTTTGAACCTTGGAATCTTAAAATGTCTAGAGGACCAGTCCTCATTTTGAGATAATCAGGCCCCCCTTTTGTGAAAGTCCAAATTTTTACACTTTGATATTTCTAGAAAGCAGTTTAGAACGATTGACGATGGATCATAACTTCTTTGCACTTCTATTTTAGATAACAAAGTGATAAAGAATTATTACGAGGTGACCTCTTTATTTGAATATTCCTTTTGCTTATCGGCAGAAATTGCAAGTTGTGCAAACGTGCCAAACATTTCAAACCAGCAGCTTTCGAATTCCGAATTCATTTCGATTCGAAGTTACTTTATTTTTAGTCACGGCAGGTGTTTAATTATTCAATTATATCTTTATCGAGAGAATTGAATTTCGATGAAGCAGCAGGTTCGATTGGGAATCGCAAGAGGGAATGACATAAATTCATTTGGCAGAATTACTCGAACAGTAGAGTCGCAGGCCTTGGAAACAATTTAATAGAGCGTCCTTTTTGGATTAGAGACAAAGCCGATGCTAGTACAAAATTCGTATGTCCACCAGATTTTCTATTATTAGGATAACCTCGGTGCTTTTACATCAGCCACTGTCTATTAATCACTACTTCACTGATATATTTAATTACCTCGCATTGTCTCAATTACATGGACACTTTATCGTTCAAATCTTCCAAGCATTTCTATCGATCAACACGTTCAAGATCGAGCAAGTACTCTATGATATCACCAACAGTTTACTTGGAATTTGACCACCTAATGGCGGACACAATTGACCCAGGCTCTGCCGTTCGAAGGTTAATAATTATTTTTAACGAGCCTTGCTATCAGTGTGTTAACGATGCCGTTAAAACTATGCCATCGTGAAACAACTCACCCGAATCATTCATACGTTTCACTTACTCCAAGTGGATAAATAAACTCCCGTGCATCCACGTTCCTTCCTCCTCATTTTTATCTTTTATCTTCCTGGTTTTTCCACCGGCTTCGTGCTTCCCTTTCTACTCTTTTCTCCCATTCCAGTACGGTGTTCCTGTTTCTTCTCCCACTTCGTGGATTCTTCGTACACGTATCAACGTAGTATCACGAGGTGGGCTACATGTGGCAGTTCTTTAGCGTTCGTTACCTCTTCAACTATCTCGGTCCTCAGGTTGTCGTTTCGCAAGAATGGTACGAAGGAATAATTTAAGAGCCCCGATGGAAGATCTGCCCGATAGAGGCCCCGGTGAGTTGATGCCGGTTTCATTTCTTTTATCTCCGAGGGAAAGGTTCCACCGAGTAACATATGGTTCAACCACGTGGTCCTGGTTAAATGATCGAGTTAAACCTGTTCTCTACGTGTTCCAAGTATTCATCTTCAGCCTGATATTGTTAGGGTTTCTGTGATGCTTCATTGAAGATGCTCTTCTTGAAAGGGTTAATCCCCATTTGGATTTCAAATTTCACTCCCATTTCCATTAGATATGCTCATGAACTTGTCTCAATAATTAGAGAAGAATGGTAACTAAGAAGCATCCACGAGAGCAAGGCTTTTATCATCCCAAAGAACCTGTTATATTTTAAACCCCATATTGTAAATACATTTCAAGAGGGCCACCCTGTATATGCATACAGTTATGAAGATTCAGTTATTGAATCTGAAATGCAAGAAGTGAATGATGATTGTGAATGATGTGTTCCATCGACCCATGGCAAAATACATAGCGTAATTCAAGTTAATTAACTTATTTTTCTTTCTGTTTTAGTGGCAGCTTTAATTTACTGGCGTGATCCAAAGAAATCAGGAGCCGTTTTTGGATGCATACTTGGAGTGCTTCTCTCGCTGGCCTACTTCAGTTTGATAAGCGTTCTTGCTTATCTCTCTCTCCTCGTCCTTACCGGCACCATTGCCTTCAGGATCTACAAAACCGTCCTACAAGCTCTCCAGAAGACCTCCGATGGACATCCTTTCAAGTAAATATAAGGAGAAACTTTCGAGCAGAAGAAAGAAAGAGAAATCTTTATAGAGAATTGAAATTATTTAAAACACACGTTTATTCGAATTTCAGAGACATTTTGGAACTTGACTTGACGTTGTCCGCGGAGAAGGTGCACGAAGTCACGGTCGTGGCTGTTGCACATGCAAATGCAACGGTCAGCGAACTGCGTAGGCTCTTCCTTGTAGAGGACTTTGTCGATTCCTTGAAATTTGGTGTTCTTCTTTGGTGCCTCACTTACGTGGGTTCTTGGTTCAATGGCATGACTCTGATCATAATCGGTAAATAATGCAATGCTTATAAAAACTTTATCGTACAAGGGTAGCGTATGTTACATTTTTCAAAGGACCTAATTACTTTTGCACACCCTTCGTTCTTTATTATTTTCGTTAAATATCAAGTATGTAATGTGACGAGATTTCTGCTATTTGTCTCATGGTAAGAAACGTATATATATACCTGACCACAATGGTATTAATAGAATCGACGTCACAACAAACAGAATTCAACGTTAAGAGAACCTAAATTCACGATTTAAACGCGTCGTCACCAAAATGTCCAATGAGGTCATTGTTCTCGTTCAACAACTTCAAAGTATACTTAGAATAGAATGTTCATTCAGAGTCGATAATAATCCTAATCTGTGAGTAAACTTCTTAATACCGTATACAATGGATTCTGTCTGTCCTGTTACAGGAGTAATTGCCCTGTTTACACTACCGAAGGTCTATGAAACAAATAAGGCACAAATCGATCAGAATCTAGCCTTGGTGCATGGCAAGATCAATGAGCTCACCGCTAAGTAAGTATAGTTAATTTAGAAATGAATAAAAATAAAAATTACAATATAAAATAAATATTTTAAGAACACCAAACTTATCTGTAAATATTCAGACTATGTATCATGCTCTGTGATATTTTACTTTGCTAGTAGCATGTATCTCCTCTGTGGTCGGTCATTTATTCCATAAAATATTAATGTGCCCTCGCAACGAAGCGTATGTATAGAGTAGATGTTCCCCCTCGTGCAATAGGCAATTATGGTGTTGGTCATAGGTGTCCATCATGGTGCAGAGTCCGTTAAAAGAAGCGCACTTTACATGCTCGTAAAAGACATTGCACAGCTTTGGTATTTGAAATAGAAAATGTGTATTAAATAAAGATTCTTTATTGTTAAAACTTACAGGGTGAAAGCTGCAATACCGCTTGGTAAGAAAGAACCAACAAAGGAAGAATAAACAACAAGAACATACCACCACGCGGGGGCAAAAGAAACTTAAGCGAATTTGTCGGGCAACTGGAGAATCCATGCAGGAATGAAACGAAGAACAGTGCTGTAAACAAGTTGAAGAGATGAGAAATTTATTTAAAAAACAAGAAAACAAACACACACACACACACACACACACACACACATACGTATTGTTCAGTGGAGAATCGCGAGGGAAAATGCTTGCGAGAAAATGTCGAACAATTGAAGAAAGAAAAATAACAGTGGAAATAAACATATAGCATACTACGAAGGAGAAAGATTGTAGGAAAGAGTTCGTTAGTATGTTAAGGTTTAATCTAATAAAATAAATTTTTTTAAATTCTGGAATTATCGAATATGAACGAAAAAAGTAATAAAAGTAGCATCAGTAGAGAAGCATGGCTTACAAAGAACTGTAATGAGAAAGTATTCAAAATATACATATATATATATAAGAAAATGAAGGTAATAATAGAATCTCTAAAAATTCTGAAAGAGTGAGAAAAAAAGATATAAGTATGAACAGAAATAGAAATGTTAAAACCCAAGTCGAAAGGACAACGAAAAGAACGTAAACACACAGTCTTCTGATGTTTAGTCATGGGCAGCTGGATTTCATTGTCCGACGATGTCGTAAACGCGAGTTTTCCTTTTCTGGAACTACAAGATGTCCCTGTTGATGGAAATAAACAAAAAGAAGTAACGTTTAGCGATTATGTTAATTCGTTGCGATACGAGAAGCGATATAGAGTTCTTTATTGTACTCTATTACAGAAATCATGAACGGTGCAATGCGTGTGTTTCTTAGGGGTTTCCTCCTGGTTTTTCTTCCCCCCCCCCCCCCCCCCCCCCCCCTTTTTGTTGCTTTTCCTCGCACTCTCCTATAAGAACCCGAACTGATTTTCTTCTTCAGATGACCAATGGTATGCGGCTCCATTAAAATTGATCGTCGTACAACTTTTCAAAAAGTTTCTTCATTCTGAAACAGAAAGACAAGTAATTGTCAGAAGAAATTATAAATAAACAATACGTTTGATTTTATATACAGAATAATACTGATGGTTTAATCAGTTCTGAAACAGAAAGACAAGTAATTGTCAGAAGAAATTATAAATAAACAATATGTTTGATTTTATATACAGAATAATACTGATGGTTTAATCAGGAATAGATAAAGACTTTTTTGTTGCTTTAGATTTGCTTAACGGTAGTTTCATCTACAAAAAAAGTTGAAGTTAATTTGTAAAACATGTAATGATTTAATCATTTTGATGCAGTGTATTATTTTAGATGAATTTTCTGGATTTTTTTTTTATTTAAAGTTAAACGAGGTATAATAAAACCTACACTTTAATTTGAAAAATCGACATAGATTCTCAAAGGAATAGAGATGAAACATTCTTTTCATGAAAATAATATGTGAATTATATTACTAATCATTTTTTATATATCATTAAATATGTATACTATACTTGTCATCTATTTAAAAAATTATATAAAAAACGTTACAGTTTAGAATATATATATATCATTGTTTTTTATTGTATTTTGTAAAGGATTATTCTTTATAAAAAAGATGCTTATTGTATCAAGAAAGACTTAATTGGAAGATACAGACTTACACAATTTTAACCCAGGTAGAGAGACCTCTCATGCTTTTTACTAATGATGTTTCATAAAAACGAGCAGGAGGAAGGGTGATTGTTAATAATTATAATCAAACATAAAATAATGAATTTTCAATCCATGCATATTGATTGCCTTAAAACATTTGTTTAGTGTGGAAAGGTAGAGTGTATTAGATGTTGCGCGTATGGATGAGCGTGAGAAAGAAGATGAAAGGTGTAAGAAGTTGAAAAAAATTTGTTGTCAATTGTTAACAATGTTTCAAGTGTTGGAAATCTTGAATTACCATTTTTTTTTTTAATAACACTAAACATTAACATATACGTAGTACTATTTAATCAAAAATCAATTGATTTTTAATATATTTAAGGTTTCTATGAAGTTTACATATAGTTTTACCAGTAATGAATTTTTGATTAAATTGTGTATCCAGAATGAATTAAGAATGAATTAATTTGTGTTAAAGTTAAAATTTGTTTACTCAAAATAAAGTAATTTTGATTATTTTCAAGCTTGGCTAGTGATCAATCAATAATCTATCAAACAATTTACTCCATCTCTCGTTTGTTAATATTAAACATCGTTCATGATCTTTTAAAAATTTGTATCAAGATTAAAATTTTTCTTTTGCAAAATTTTTTGGTAGATCAATAACAATAGGATTTGGTTGAGCAAATGAAAGAAATTTTTTGAAGATCGCGCCGATCATATTCATTGATAGATCCGCATATCATTTATCTCTGTGTCCATCGATCATAACTTTCGAAGACAGTGAGAAAACGACTACGAGTGCATGTGTGTGTATATGAGTACGTGAGAATAAATAATAGGCGCCGTCTGTTTTTTCTTCGGCGTTTTCGAAGATTTTGTTTCTTCGATCAATACAATTATCGCTATCACATAACTAAGTGTAACTATATGGTTAAAACATTACGATGGAAAGTTGTTGGCTGAATTGCGAATTTTTATTATAATAGTATCGTTTCAAGTAAGATCGATGTTGGTACTGAAATTCCGTTAGAGATTTTAAAAAGCGTGTCACGTCGTTAATTCGTTCAACGTATATACATATATACTCATACGACGAATTTAAAAGCTTTCGGTTTTTGAAGTTTCAATACAAGGACACGAATCATTTAGGATTTTAATATCTTTCAAGATACACGTTAACGCGTTCCAGATCACACTCTGTGTAATTTAACATATTTCAAAAACTGAATGTTTTTAGATTCCGTCAAATTAAAGCTTGAAGCGTCATTCATATAATTGTTCACGACATAACCCAATTTATATCTGTATCTGAACGAAATTTTCTCGAGTACCATAGTCGTTTTTTACTTTAAAATACAGCGTCCAGAACGTGACGACTATGATGGAGCAAGAATAGTAAGAGAAGTTAGATAAAGATGGGGAAAAATCTTTTTCAGAATGTGAATTGTAATACGCGTATCGCTTATTGACGTTTTCATTATTGCATCTGCATCCGCACGATTAATTTATAAATAAATTATATTAAATAAAACACTTAATTGTAAGGTCCTCTTGTCTTTGTTTCCCTAGTTTATTTGGAAACTATATATATTTTCTTTCTAACAGCATTTTTTACCATTACGATATAACTGAATTAATAGTATTGTAGACTACTTAAGAAAAGTGATAGGTATTTATTCGTAATTTATAAACGCCATCGTTAAATAATTTTTTTCTTTTTTTTTATTAAAGAAGAAAACCTCTTCGGGCTACATAAAGCCCATTAGAGTTCAGTCATCAGGTACAGTCACTTACAATGAAAATCGTCCACCCGCAACGGAGCGTATATTAGTCTAATTAAAACAATAAATATAAATAGAATACAATGATTACGCATAGTAAATTATTCTACATAAATAACTACATAATATACTGAAAAGCAAAAGATTCTGTTGAATAATAATCGAGATATAGCATTGCAAATAGAAACATGTCCGAAGTGAATCTCGCAGTGAAAATCGTCCACCTACAACAACGTTTGATAAATTGCGCTAGTTAATTGATTTAGTAATTTTTAATGAGCGATTCTTATAGATTTTTTTATGCCGAATCCGAATTTCTAAACCATTTTCATCTAACTTTTATAGTTTTCGAAATAATCAATGTTAAACAGAAATTGCAATTATTCAACTTTGGAATTGATTTATGCTTTTACAGTAGCAGATATTCAGGTTCTTTTTTCATGTAATAATTCTGTGGAATCTACCGAATGAATGATATAAATTGTTATTACATTATAGACGTGTAAATATGTTTAAATAATAATGGAAGTGGAAGATACGCCTAAATCGCACCAACGTCGGCTGATATTTTTTATTATATTTCAAAAACTAACAATCTAGGAGAAAATCTAATTATATCACACGATAGAGAAACATTTTTGCTAAATATAACATTAAAGCAATGTGTAAAAATTAGGTTTCTACTTTAAAATTTAAGCCTGATAACTTGGCATAGAAGGAAGGAACATACTCGCAAAACGTACACGAGAAACAGGTCGACCGTAAGCGTTGACCGTAACTACTGCTGTTATGGCGACCTCGTCGAAAAGTTCACTTTATGTGTGCTTATAAATTTGACCTACGAGGTGCGACCTTCCTCAGTCTTACAGCGACCACCGAGGGGTACGGATCAACTCGTCAAACATACGCGTACCTATCATTTCCTTTCGGAGTTTATTCAATTTACTTTATTATTTTTGCTTATTAAATAAGCGTATCAAAGAAGGATAAAATTTATAATTTTATCCCCCTTCTGGTCCTTGACCGACCATCCTTTTTGTTTAATATTTTATCCCTCCTTATGGGCCACAGCTCATTTTTTCCAACTATTTACTATTTTACCCCTCTTTATTGGCCACAGCCCACCCTTCTCAGTTATTAATTATTTTATCATTATTATTTTATTCCTCTTCATGAAACATGCGGAGACCATCCTATCCAGTTATTTATTATTGTATTCCTCTTTATGGTCAAAGGCCTCCCTTCGTAGTTATTTATTTTTTCATTCTTTCCGTGGGCCTCGCGGGGAATACCCATAAATCCCTGTATCCCCGTATTCCTTGTATCTCTGAATCCCTTGTATTCCTTCATACCTTACAACTCTGCATCCCTTACATCCCAGCATTTCTGATATCCCTGCATTCCTTATATCACTGCTTCGTTTATATCTCTGCATCCCTTACATCTCTACATCCCTTACATCTCTATATCCCTTATATTCCTGCATCATTTATATCCCTGTATTCCTCATACCCCCGCGTCCCTCAACATTTCTGCGTCCCTTCCAACTACGCATCCTTTACATCCCTGCATCCCTTACATGCCTGCATCCCTTATTTCTCTACATCTCCTCATTCCGGCTTTCTTTATATCCCTTTGTCTGCTAAGGAGCGCTGTTTCTCATGAAAAATTTGGTTCAGATTTTCGCCACAAGAGGGCGCTGTTTTTCGGGGAAAATTTAGTTCGAATTTTGTCCGCCAGGGGGCGCTAAATTCACTCGTGCCTTAGTTCCTTTTCTTGTCGCCAGGGGCGCTGTTTTTTCGGGGGAAATTTAGTTCGAATTTTGTCCTCCAGGGGGCGCTAAATTTATTCGTGCTTTAGTTCCTTTGTTCGCCACTAGAGGGCGCTGTTACGACCGCCAAATCCGTCATTTCTAGGATGTAAGTCATAAAGGGATTGTAGGGAATTGAATGGGTTGTGAGATGCAGGGCTCTAAGGAAAGCAGGGTTGTAAGAGGAACAGACATTTAAGAGATAGGAAGATGTAAAAGATTGAAGGGTGTAAGGGACAGAAAGGTGTAAAGGATAAAGGAATGTTAGGCATATGGGGTTGTGAGGGACGCAGGGATGTAAAGAATGCAGAGATGTAAGAGATGCAAGGATATAAGGAAAGCCGGGATGTAAGGGATGTAGATGAAACTATAGTAAGATACTGACCTGAGTTTGCATATCGACATTGTGGCATTCGGGGTGCCAAGGGCCCCGCTGCATCGGTAGCGCTCTCTGCGTACAGACCTGATATCTGGAGTGTCAGGAACCCCGTGATTCCTGCACGACAAAATATCATTTTGAGGTGTCAGGAACCCCGGTGACTCTACGCGTCGACCTAATATGATCTAGGATGTCAGGGACCCCGCTGACGTTTTCTGTGCATCGCCAAATATCATCTTGGGGTGTCAGGGACCCCGGTGACTCTGCGCGTCGACCTAATATGATCTAAGATGTCAGGGACCCCGCTGACGCTTTCTGTTCGTCGCCAAATATCATCTTGGGGTGTCAGGGACCCCGCTGACGCTTTCTGCGCGCCGCCAAATATCATCTTGGTGTGTCAGGGACCTCGGTGACTCTCTGCGCGTCGACCTAATATCTTTAGCTCTGACTGTATGTAACTGAAATTTGTTAGAACTAAAAATGAAAACTGTTCATAAAGAAATACGAACATTTTACCCCAAAACAGGCTGCCATTCCTGTTTGTATGTAATTGTTTACGAGAAAAGTGTATTGTTAGACTAGACTTAAAACATAGAGTATAGCGTATCAAACATTCTTTTCCTAATTTGAATGTAATAAACATATTTGTAAATATAATTAATATATTTTTTATTGCAATTATTTTTAGATATTTATGTTGGCAGGGATAAAATTGTAATAAGGTTGGCTACACCTTCAAATACCTGCGCTCTCTTCCGGTTCGCTCGTTGAGGGTGACTGAGTCTTATTTAGTTTAGCTGTAATTAAATCTTTCTCCATCTTCCACCATGAGGATTTACAAGGATATTTTTACTGGTATGTAAATTCAAGATATGTTTAGACAACACGCTTAACTAGTATTTTCACAATTTTTGTTATATTAAGAAATAAAATATTATGCTTCGTTGAAGGCAGCTGAACAGTGACGTTTCTATCATGAGGACTTAAATTTTTACCGTAATAACTGTAAACAATTTTCTCCTAATAATTTTAACAATCCCGTTTGATGAGATACTGCAAAATATGACTCTGAATCAACTATGTGTTATAAAATCATTATACTACTTGAATATTTAACTTTCTGATTTATAACCTCTCCATATGCTCATAATGATTAACTGTAATTGTAAGATAATTTAGAATAATGCCCTTCCTAGAATCAGACAAAAGATATTACTGATGAAGAATATCCAATGTCATTTTCAATAAACATTTTATTGAAACTTAGAATAATTGAATTTCACACTGCAGTTTTCAAAGTTGCATAAAATGGTGAAATTGGAGTAAAATTGAATGTGTAAACAAATTTAATATTATATTTCAGGTGATGAGATGTTCTCAGATACCTACAAAATGAAATTGATTGATGATGTTCTATATGAAGTATATGGCAGGGTATGTATTTATGAATGATATTGAGAAAACCCAAGTTAATGATTAACATTTTAATGATTATTAGTTGGTCACTCGTAAAGCTGGTGATATAGAAATAGCTGGATTTAACCCTTCCAGTGAGGAAGCAGATGAAGGCACAGATGAAGCAGTAGAATCTGGTGTTGATGTAGTCTTAAATCACCGGCTTCAAGAGACTTTTGCTTTTGCAGACAAAAAGTCTTATACCTTATACTTAAAGGATTACATGAAAAAGTAAATATTTAAGTTATTACAATTGTTTAGGATGCGTAAAAGAATTTTTTCTAATGTACATCTTTACAGATTAGTAGCAAGACTGGAAGAAAAAGCTCCTGATCAAGTAGAAGTATTCAAAACCAATACCAACAAAGTTATGAAAGACATATTAAGTCGTTTCAAAGACTTACAGTTCTTCACTGGTGAATCTATGGACATTGATGGTATTGTTGCATTGATGGAATATCGTGATATCGATGGTGAATCTGTGCCTGTACTCATGCTCTTCAAGCATGGTCTTGAAGAAGAAAAATTCTAAATAATTTTAGATATTCAACAAATTGTGGAAAGATATTGTGAGTTTTATATTTATTACTTGCACTACATACATTAATATCCGTATTTCAAATTAAATATGTACATGTAAATTCATGCCTTATACATTATGTGTATATGGCATTGCACAAACATGTTAGATTAAAATTGGTGAACAGATTCCCGCTGTAGTATGCTCTTTGTACATAGCGTCTATTTTAAACCAGACATTCTAATAACGAATCGCGACATTCAGCCAAATAAATGCATAGAGGAATAAAATTCTATTTTGTACACTTTTCAGATGAACTCGAATCAAGACTGTATACATGCTGAAAAGCTGTGGAATTTAGTTAAACAAAAACACGGTTCTACTTCCAATCTCATTTTATATTGTAGTTAAATTATTCGTTTAAATAATTAACAGAAAAAAGGAACAAATAATTAATTGTACATATAGAATAACTAAAGGGAAAATGATAAAAGACAAATTATCTCTTCACTGTGTCGGTATTTGATTCACTGTGACATTTGTAATAGTTTTCTACTTTATTTTTTATTCAACACAATCCGAACATTTAATTTAATAACAAACGAAAAAATGGAAGATGGGGAAAGAACTTTGCAGCAATGGAAGTATCAAAAATATGTATAATTATTATTATTCATAAGAATATCAGTGAATAATATCGGAAACATACTCTGTATAATGTCCATCATGAATAAAAGTGTGTTTTCTTAAGTACCGCTTATGATCCATGTTTTTATTTTCAATCACCTAATTCGTAAATTATAAGTATCTCGATATGAATGACAGGGATAAAACACCAAAATTGCGAGAAAAAAATATAGGGTATAATATAATCCAGTTGTTTTGACTTCATAAAAATATTATATTTAGACAAGTCAGAATAGACGATTTATCTCTTGGCGCAAGATCGTACATTATCTCTTCAGTCAGAGATCAGTATTAATCATACTGTTTTACAAGTACAATAATACGACTTCTTCGCATTCTGTTTCACTAACAATCTCGCTCTCTCATCTGTCATTCTCTCGTACATTTTATTTTTCTCTGCCTTCTATGTTTATATAATTTGTATATCCATCATTATTAGACATCCTTTTGAGAATATATTACTCTTATTTATTATAAAATAGTTACCGATCCAATGCAGAATTCTTTGTATTCCAGTTTGTCTCATGCCATTACCTGAAAAAGTGTCACGTTTACACATACAAAAGCGTATTTCAATGATGTAAGAATTTTTATGTGTATGTTGGAACATTTACGTTTGTAAATGTATAGATATGCATACACATGGTTTAGTAAAGAGAACTACACAATAGTAAGTCATGAAACAATGGTTACAGCTTAAAGGTAGTAAAAGATGAATTGCAAGTCTATACATACATATATTTTTCTATATACATTGTATGCCTTTAACATACTACATACAGACATAGTTTATTTACACAGAGAAACATTGCCTGAATTAGCACAACCATATTGTTACTGGTTATTCAGCAATAAAAATGAAAGTTATTTTCAAAACAACGTGTTAGAAATTAGTATTCACAAACACCTTTAAGCTGCGAGTACAATAATTGTTTCTGTAATAAAATGTTAAGAGAGCTATTCATTACTATCCATTTTTTAAATTACTTCTTCTAATGAGATAAGCAATTTGCAGTTTACTAACATCCTTAAAACTACAAGGTTTTGCGCAATGGTGACCTCCATTGATTTACAATGAAATTATAAAAAATCTACTCAATAAAATGATTTAACAAGTTGACGAGAATTTTTTGTCATTTTAATTTGAAGGAAGAAAGATCAAACATGGAATATTGGGCCACGTTAATATACCAAAAAATAGTTAATTGTAATGGCAGTCGTATGAGTTAATGTGTTATTCATGTAGCATTTATCAATACATAAAAGTTCACAACATTTATACACACAGAAGAATTTTAGTAATCTGGCTTTTAGCTTAGATCATCATCGAAGGTACGATATTTAATAGGAAACCTTCTACTGTTTAAGTGGGATGTATCTCAAACGATTATTTTATTCATTACTATTAATATAAACTTATTTGTACTGATCTATGTAGAACGGGTGCGTGAAACCTATTCGGTACTTCTAGAAAACGGCGATGAAATATTATAACAAATTTTCAATTCAACAATAATGTACATATTTAGTTTAAAAAGCTGGAACGAATAGAAAAATATAAAATACAAAATATAAACGATTTAAAATACGTAGAGCGAAAAATTTCATAAGTACTATATGAGGATGAAAAATATAGCATATAAACAATTATAGATCTTCATTCGTTCTAACGTGTTGGATCGTACAGAAAGTTTACAACGCACCCTATTCTTCCATTCTAGGACATTGTTACTAAGTAAAACGTTACTACATATAATTTGAGCATTGTACCATTTCTATGATAGTTCAAAGAAGTATGGCAAAAGCATTAAGTTTACATCAATTACAATCGTGTATACAATTCATTGTTCTTGAATATCATTGCTTCGGAAAGAAGCATGCTGTTATTTAGTAGACTTTTAAATACATTCCAAAGTGTCAACACTTTTGAATCTCCTTACCTTAAATATAATATGATCATATTTCTTAATTCCTGCCATTATCTTTGTTATTCTACTGACCACTACTGAGGTTCTCATTATTATTTTGTGAAAGAGTTCTGTTTATATAATCATATATTATATGTATGTAATAGATATCATCATTTTAACATTTATATATTTTTATATGAAACTTCATTCACAGGTAGCCAAGCATTCACGCCCCTCCAATCCTAATATTTTTTGACTGTTTATTTTCTTCTTTCATATTACATATATATATATATCTATATATATTTATCTATATATTTAAGGAATTAGATGAGGTGTGACCGCATAACGCGTTTTGTTCAGAGGTAATTTTGGTCAAGATATTATAGCATCAGAATAAGTATAAAGAAAAAGAAGAACAATTATTAACAAAATAATTTGAAAGATTACAAAATACCACTTTCTTATCATCTTATAAAGTATTATAAATTATATCATTTGGCTTTGAATTGGTTACAAATCATTCAGAATAGTAGAAAATTGAATTGTGTAATCATTAAAACTTTGTCCTGCGTTTGAAACGATAATCGTATACCAGGCGTTTGAAATGAATAGCAACTCCAGTAGTGTTACAAAAAAAAAATCGGGAAATTTAATGTGTTCTTTTTCTCATGGTATGCATAACATTAAAAACTCTCATCAAATAGATAACAATAACCAACAACTAACAATCGTAAGCATTCACGCAAAAATAGAAATATGTTTAATAATATATAATATTATCATAATTTATATCATCGAAGTAAGTATGATCGTTTCTTACAATTGCTAAGGGTGCTATAGAGTCACTTATATAGATGACTAAAACTGAAGGACACTAAGAAGAGATAAATTGTTCATTTTCTAATTTAGATAATAAATTTCTCGAAATAGTTTACTAAAAAAGAATAATATACAAATAAATTTCTACAATAATGCACCGAAATTCAACAGATTATATAAAATATATATTTTTCTAATATTTTATATTTAAACTTACCGATAAAGCGCGGTGATAAACTATAAAATTTGATAATTTATTGCCACGAATTTAGATTTTACGATCGCTTAAATAAGTATCTAATAATCACAATTTAAATTCCATAGATCTAAATGAAAGATGAATTATTATAGCGAACGTATAACAGTGCTGTTTCCTTATATCCTTCAGCTCAAATCATAAAAAAGGTTCTGTAAATTACTAACAACAACGGTAAGGTTTCTATCTTATTCCTGTCCTGAATCAATTAATTCTTAGATATATTTCTAGGTTTAGAAGGATAGACCATACATCTCGTAAGCATCTCTTTGAAGTTGTTTTAAAAGCTCTCGCGTTTTATAGCGCGCTGAAATGTTCCTTCAAACATTTTTTTTTTTTTTGAAGTAAATAAAATCTTTGATAAAATGTAGAAATATCAAATTACATCTCAGTCGCTATCGCACATAGCGACGTAAAATTAAAATCAAGAGACACAAGAAAAAAAATAAACAGCACAGAAATTTGAGTTGATAAAAATTGTTCATATATGTCAGTATCTTTTAACAGCGTATCAAGAATTTACGATACCTTGAATGTAAATATTCTCTGTTCGCATGTTCTCCAACAGTTATGGTTTCCGCCTTTCATTACAGACATAAGCTGTACGTACGTGTACATACACATGGCTCTTCTTATACACATATAAAAAGAGCTTATTCATAATATATTTAGTTAATAATGAATTAGTAAGTTTATCTCTTTCTCTATACTCTAAAATACAAAACAATAAATTATCATAGTGCACACGTGTAAAACGCTTCCGTTTTATGCATGTATGTATATATTTTATTTATACCGTGGCTCTCTCCAAATAACGATCCGAATCGAGGCAAAGTTGGAATGTAAAAATACCCGAGAACGTGTAATCTGAATATTATGTAATGTTGCATCCGCGTTGACCACCGTGTGAAAATAATCGCAAGGCCCCTATCTGTACACAATTTTATTTCAAAAGACTGCAGAAGCAGATAGAAACCAACTCGTCAGTGGCAGAGGCGTAACGTGTAAATACAACAAAAATGAGGAGGAGAACAGTGTCTTAGGAACTTCCACGTGGCTGTGAGGAGTGTACAGTTCAACGTGGATGCAAAGTGATGATCAGCAATCAAACACGCTTCTAATGAGGAATGTCACTGCAACGTATTGCAGCGATATTCCCCCGGTATGAAACTGCAGCCGGTGTGTCGTTATTTGATTCTGCGAGTGTAATCGTTGCGACTTTCCATGTGCTCTCGATACGAATCGGATCACCAGTGACCACCTCCTTTACGTCGGACAGAAGAATGCACTAACGAAGAGACATAAATAAAAAGGTGAAGAAGAAGAGAGGAGTAAGTAAATTCCACCTCGGGTGAACGCGTGACAATTGTCGAACGATCTCGACGAGGAGGGCATCGGAATACCGATAAGAAATTCTTATTTTCTTTTTTTTTCTTTTGATGATGATGGTACATGTGACACGTGTCCTTCCGGTTCTCTCTCTCTCTCTCTCTCTCTCTCTCTCTCTCTCTCGCTCTTATAGGTCGGTGTGCCCCAGAACGCGGCACACCTTTTGTTCCTAAGGATCTGATCGTGATTCCAGCATCTCCACCAGGAAGTCGTCGATCGGTACGTCGCCGATCATCTTGAAGAAGAACAGGTGTTCCAGGCATTTAAGACCGATCGATCGGATCGCTGGCAAGCGTAGCAGAAGTTTCGCGAATCTGCCAGGATCGTCGGGCCAGGCGACGCGACAGTAACCCTCCAGGGCTGCGTAGATTTTCTCGCGGAGCAAGGTTACCTCCTGGATGGATTTCAACCCCCGGACCTCGGGGTTAAACAGTATGATGGATCTACTCAGAAAAATTCATTCATCTTTTCAGCTGTGCAGGATTAGACCTAATTTAATTTAAAAAAAACTAGATATCACTAAAATTGAATAATTGAGATATTTAACTAATTAAAAATTTGTAAATCAACCCTGATACAAAAGGTACAAAACTTTACTTTATTTATAAAAATTTTAAAATTGATTTCACATATTATTTCTTAAAATTCTACTATAACTTTTTACTTTTATAAAACCTTTTTTAAAAATATTTCTTCTATATTGAACAAAAAGTTTTTATTTAATTAATTTCACAGGAACTTCAGGAACAAGTGTACAGGAGTGTGCACTTAGGCTTAAGGCAAAGTGATTTTTTCTAAATTTCCCAAAAATTAAAAGCCAACGCTGAGAGGCTCCTCCTTCTACTCTGATCCTTAGAGCTAATGAATTCTATATTAAATTTTTTAATTTATTCAGTTGATGGCTTATACTTTTTTTTTGGAGTACCAACCTAAGACAGCCAAGCTCGGTCCTGTCCATTTTCATTTCACGCATTTTCGACACAAGTTCTGATAGCACTCTGTCGAATATCGTGCCCACGCCAGCCTGCTGCGCCGAGTTTCGATGAACAGTGATCCCAGTGGCCAGCACGATACCGTCCTTCACGTCGATGGAACGGTGGGAAAAGGAGGCTATCAGCAACTCGTTCCAGCCGGCCCTGAGCAGAAGTACCTGATCCTCCAGTGGCAACGACGTAAAATGTGGGATGTGTTTCGCCCATGCTACCAGCTGGAACAGCTGTTTGTTCGTGGCGTTGCAAATTTGCGACACTGCATTCTGTGCATTACAAGAGATGCCGAATTAATTGAAGGAGCGTTTCGTGGAAAACAGTACTAACGCACGCCATTCCACGAGAATCATCACAGTTGCTGCTGCTGCTGTTATTGCTTACGTACAAAGACAGACAAGCGACAAGAAAAGCTAACAAAATTATGGTTGCTGCTGCTGGCTGCTGTGGATTGATTCGCAGAATGGCGTACCCGGACGAAAGTTTTCTAATTTCTATCAGAGACCGTTCTTGCTCCGTTACAATTATTCTAACGTGAAACGCCTGACTACTCGAAATAATTATTTCCAGCAGTTATTTATAGAAACATACACAACTCGATCGATTCCTTTCTTTTTTTCTTTTAATTCCCTCTGACGATGAAACAATATTAATGGACGTCTCAAACGAGTTTAATTCAATCACTCGTCCAGGCCCAATGACAAATAAATTGATTTCGTCGCGAGACACAGCTGTATATTGTCCAAAGCTGTCTTCTCGATGATGTCCATTGCAGCAAATTAATAAACCGAGTAAAAAGAAAAAAAATGTGACTTTACCAGTCGTGTATGCGAAAAAGGACCCTCGAAATAAATGAATGAACTTTGAGAAATTAATAAATATTAAATGATCGAACCTTCTTCTATTTCTTTTTTTCAATATACAGTGAGTGTAAAAAGTGTTTGGACACTGTTTAAAAAAGAATACCTCATTTAACTCTTTGACTGCCACGCTAAAACCATTGAGAATTCCATTAAGTATTACTTTTGTCTTCACAAATTTTATGGATATTATCTTGAAAATATTTCATTATATTTTTATCCACAATTTCAAGTATCTGATACAAGTATTTCCAATTAAGTAAGTCAAAGAATTTCTAATAATATGAGTGATGGATTCCTATTGAAATTCAGGCGTCACCCATATGTGGGTGACGTGGCGCTCAGTGTTAAAATTGGAACAAATGACTTGAGGTTTTTTGAGAAATTATACAAATTAATTTACTAAGAAAATCTCGATTTTTCGTCTAAGAACGTAACAGGTCACGATTTTTTTAAATGAGGTATTCTGTTATTCGAAGAGTACAAATTCAAATAATGCCAACAATTTCTGGGATTTATTACTCGCATTAATCAAGATCTACCTATAATTAAAATTTCCGAAAATCTCGATTTTTCATCTAAAAACGTAACAGGTCCCGATTTTTTTTAAGATGAGGTATTCTATTATTCGAATAGTACGAATTCAAATAATGCCAACAATTTCTGGGATTTATTACTCGCATTAATCAAGACCTACCTGTTATTAAAATTTCCAAAAATCTCGATTTTTGTAAGAACGTAACAGGTCATGATTTTTTTTAAAATGAGGTATTCCGTTATTCGAATAGTACGAATTCAAATAATGCCAACAATTTCTGGGATTTATTACTCGCATTAATCAAGACCTACCTGTAATTAAAATTTTCGAAAATCTCGATTTTTCATCTAAAAACGTAACAGGTCACGATTTTTTTTAAGATGAGGTATTCTATTATTCGAATAGTACGAATTCAAATAATGCCAACAATTTCTGGGATTTATTACTCGCATTAGTCAAGACCTACCTGTTATTAAAATTTCCGAAAATCTCGATTTTTGTAAGAACGTAACAGGTCATGATTTTTTTTAAAATGAGGTATTCCGTTATTCGAATAGTACGAATTCAAATAATGCGAACAACTCCTGGAATTTATTACTCGCATTAATCAAGATCTACCTATAATTAAAATTTCCGAAAATCTCGATTTTTCATCTAAAAACGTAACAGGTCCCGATTTTTTTTAAGATGAGGTATTCTATTATTCGAATAGTACGAATTCAAATAATGCCAACAATTTCTGGGATTTATTACTCGCATTAATCAAGACCTACCTGTTATTAAAATTTCCAAAAATCTCGATTTTTGTAAGAACGTAACAGGTCATGATTTTTTTTAAAATGAGGTATTCCGTTATTCGAATAGTACGAATTCAAATAATGCCAACAATTTCTGGGATTTATTACTCGCATTAATCAAGACCTACCTGTAATTAAAATTTTCGAAAATCTCGATTTTTCATCTAAAAACGTAACAGGTCACGATTTTTTTTAAGATGAGGTATTCTATTATTCGAATAGTACGAATTCAAATAATGCCAACAATTTCTGGGATTTATTACTCGCATTAGTCAAGACCTACCTGTTATTAAAATTTCCGAAAATCTCGATTTTTGTAAGAACGTAACAGGTCATGATTTTTTTTAAAATGAGGTATTCCGTTATTCGAATAGTACGAATTCAAATAATGCGAACAACTCCTGGAATTTATTACTCGCATTAATCAAGACCTACCTGTAATTAAAATTTCCGAAAATCTCGATTTTTGTAAGAACGTAACAGGTAACTATTAAAAAAAAATGAGGTAGTCCGCTTTAAACGGTGTCCAAACACTTTTCACACCCACTGTATTTACCTCGTAATTTCCCTGCTGTTCCATTTTGCATTCGACCCGTTTCTCAGCCTCTAGGATACGTTCGATGGGCATGTCCGAGTGCAAGCTGCTCGTACTTTCCACCTCGCTCTGATCTCTCTCCTTGGTACGTTGACGTTCCTCTTGCACGGCTTCCCTTTTCATGCCCATAGCCAGGCATTTCTGGTATCTACAATACTGGCATCGATTTCTCTGTCGTTTGTCGATGATGCAGGACTTTTCTTCGCGGCAGGCGTACGACAGGTCTTTGCGGACGGTCCTCTTGAAGAATCCTTTGCAGCCCTCGCAGCTGAGGAGAAATAAACGTTTCATTTCTCGTTCGCTATCCCCAATACGTTAGTTGACCCCCATGGTCCCGGCAAATTTTTACCCCATGGAATCCATAGAATAGGCCGCCAAGATGATCTGTATCGAGTTTTATCCAAATCTATTAATGGGAACATGGTCAAAATGGCACCCAAAGTTGACCATTTTAACATGGGGCTTTATGGGGTGTGTTTGGCATCCTAGTTTCCGGATATGTTAAACTAGACGATAATACCTTTCAAATGAGCCCATGAGCATCAAAATCGTGAAACGGGAACTTGGTCAAAATCCGCAGAGTAATTTGGTCAGAAATCGACTTTGAAGATTTTCTTTGACCAAGTTCCCGTTTCACGATTTCGATGCTCATGGGCTCATTTGAAAGGTATTATCGTCTAGTTTAACATATCCGGAAACTAGGATGCCAAAGCACGATTTCGATCACTTCCCATAAAGCCCCGTGTTAAAATGGTCAACTTTGGGTGCCATTTTGACCATCTTCCCATTAATAGATTTGGATAAAACTTGGTACAGATCGTCTTGGCGGCCTATTCTATCGATTCCATGGGGTAAAAATTTGCTGGGACCATGGGGGTCAACTAACGCACCATCTCCTTTCGCTATCCCTTATAAACTCTCGCACGGTTACGATTTCCATCCCCGCTATTTTTCGCGAAGGTCGATTATTTTGATGTTCGCTGAGATCCACGAGATTACCGTGTCGTATCGTTTCTCTTCGCGAATTTACGAACGAAAACAAAGGGGATCTATCCACGAAGGTAGAAAATCTGTTTGGTTCGAAGAGAAACGCGGGACGTTATCGAACAGGAGCACCGATCCGTCGCGAAAATATCGCGCTGCAACGGAAATAAATTCCTCGCGGAATGTCGCTGGTTTTTTTGGATGGGATCCAAATTTTAAAAACGAACCCCCCCCCTCCTAAAACTATGACCCATCGGGAGAGTTTACCGAAAAGAAAACGACGCCGAAAAGATTTGCTTCTGATTCTTGATAATCTAAATCTTTGATCGGTGCATTTAATTAGACTTGAATTAAAAACGAACCCCCCCTCCCGAAACTATGACCCATCGGGAGAGTTTACCGAAAAGAGAACGACGAAGAGATGTGCTTCTGATCTCCTTGGTAATCTAAATATTGGATCGGTGCATTTATTTAGACTTAAATTGCAATTATTCCAAGGCATCGATGGAGGATGCAGCATAAAGAGATGAAGTTTCTGGACCACCGTGCGAGTCGTTTGATCTCGCTTTCGTTTACACGACATACAAATACATATGGCTGACGCGTGACACGCGTATACAGAGGCAGACTCTCCTTTCTTCGAGCCAAGTTTCATTATTGAAAACACGAAAAGACCTTCGGTTTTTGGCTACCGACAATACGGAATAATGAATGGCACCCACGATATATACTCTTTGATCTTTGTTCTTCCACTTAGCGTCACCTTCCGAAGGAGAAGGTTAATTTAACCCTTTAACTGCGGGTGTGTTAATTTTTGCTATTAATCAAGTGGATTTTGCTATTAATCGAATAAAAATTTGATATTCATCAAATAGCGGCTGTGGCTTATATACCACTAAAATAAAAATAAAATAAATACAATTAAAAAAAAAATCTTTTTCCTCTTTAATTTCACCCTTTAACTGCGGATGTGGTTTATAAACCAAATACTAAAATTACAGTCAGAGGCGGGTGTGTTAATTTTTGCTATTAATCAAATGGATTTTGCTATTAATCGAATAAAAATTTGATATTAATGAAATAGCGGCTGTGGCTTCTATACCACTAAAATAAAAATAAAATAAATACAATAAAGAAAAAATCTGTTAAAATAGAACATCACTTCAGTAATATAACTTAAATTAGAATGTAATTAAATTAGAATGTAATCAGCTGTGCTAAAAGTACCCGCACGCAGTTAAAGGGTTAAAAGAATTTTGCGTTAGATTAATTATCCCCCTTAAGATGAAAATCGAATAAGCGATGGTCTTTTCGACGCGTGCGAAACAAATCGTGTTCGCCTGTTGCAGCTGCTATCTGACAAGGGCCCTGATAATGACCCTGATTGCTTAATTAGCTGCCACTAGAGAGCAAAGTAGCTGCGCACGGCCAACAAGACGGTCCCTCTTCGTCCCCGTTTCCCGCAGGAACTACGGCTGGCTAGTCGTCCTAACCTCACGAGTTGCAATTCACGGCAAGTCCAAGGTTAACTCTGATGCAACGCGAATGCAACTGCACACAACGCATCTATCGGTTGTTGCTATACGCCGCCTGGGTCATAATGGGGAATGAACTAACAAGAGATACGCTGATCGTATACGTATAATATCTCGAGCAAAATAAGATTGTGATATTAAAAATTACGCAAATAATTGAGAGTTCAAATGAACTTTTTAATGAAATAATTGCAGATGCAGAGTTCGTTCGCTCTTCTGAGATATCGAATAAATATAATCATCTGGATCCCCTTCGTCGTTAAAGCGTAGAATTCGCACGAATTTCGCAAGTCGATAAAACTTTTAATTGGCTAAGTTTCTATCTCTGCTAAAACGCGATCGTCTGAGACGCGTTTGCAAGATGAAAACACTGTTGAATCTGTAGCGAACATCCCTTTAATCCGGAGGGTAAACAACATCGGAAACTCATCCTAGCTGGTATATTATTTCCAATGGTAACTTTAATAATCGAAAGATCATCACAGGGCCGGCCCTGAGATTTCGGGGGCTCCTTCACATATATGACATAAATAAAGTACCTCAAATAAATTTTTTAATTATTAACATTAAAGCTTGTATAACTAATTTAGATTTGCATTTGCATCAATTAATATTCAAGTAAATATTAATCTTCTTGCATTCTTAGACAGGGCCGACCCTGGGCCCAGGTAGACTAGGCGGTTGCCTAGGGCCCCCCAAGGTCCAGGGCCCCCATAATTCCTCCATAATTCCGGGGGTACTTCACAAAAAGTATCTCAAATAAAATTTATAAAATTAGCATTAAAGCTTGAATAACTAATTTAGATTTGCATTTACATCGATTAATATTCTTCTTGCATTCTTAGACGCAAAATCGTCTTATGGGGGCCCTAGACGGCCGCCTAGTCTGCCTAGGCCCAGGGCCGGCCCTGGATCATCAGAATGAAATAATTGCCAAAAAGTCATCGAAGGAATCGTGATTCCCTTTCGAAATTCTAATTCTTTTGCCCTATCGAAGATTACCGGAATCTTTCTCTTCCCAGCACTCAACTCGTGGCAGCGATACGAAATGGAGGCAATAGTAGGTCGAAGTTCAAGATAATTCAAAAAATAAGCTTTTATCGTTGCACCCAAGGCGTCTTTATCGCTACAGCTACGTTATAGGTGAAACAACGTTTATTAAATATGTACGTTTTCAAGCCATCGGGATTATCCGGGGACCTTGAACCCCGGTTCGTTTGATAGAAAAAAGAAAAATTCTTCGAATCTTTGTAAGAAATGAAATAACTTCTTCTCGACCCAGAGGAATGGATATTTATACAGTAAAAGCTGGATATATGCAACAAAAGTTTGGCTGGATATATGCAACATCGCTATCCCCTCCACTTGGGGGGGATCCCCCTAAGCGAACCGAGCCGCTCGACGAGGAAACCGTGTAATATGATCCGACCGTAATATCGGTGTGACTAATACTAATTGAACGATAAAACTTTTTTATTTTTAACTTCTTCTTAATGAAACTTTTACTAACGCATTTGTGAGATTTTTCTGATTAAAATGATACCAAACATAAGGCAGGCCGTACACCAAAGATGTATCAAACACGCAACATGCAACATGCAACACGTCGCATGTTGTGTACGAACGTATAGCGGAGTTCACCAGAGTCCATAACTGCGACGCGCAGGTTGAAAGATGGTGGGGGAACGCAGCGAGCTCTCCGCTAATCGCTTTCTACTTAGTTTGGGAGTACCGCCAATCAGGGCGAAGATGCGCACTGGAGAAGCGCGAAGAACGAAAACTGGTCTTTTCGCAGTTATGGACTGTGGTAAACTCCGCTGTAGAATAGGTATCGCGGCTGAATACAAACGATGTGTACGGACGCAGAATCGACACCTCGACTGGATATATGCAACATTAAATGCCCAGAATCGACACCTCGACTGGATATATGCAACATTAAATACCCAGAATCGACACCTCGGCTGGATATATGAAACATTAAATGCCCAGAATCGACACCTCGGCTGGATATATGCAACGTTTAAATGCCCAGAATCGACACCTCGGCTGGATATATGCAACGTTTGGGTCCCAATGTTTGTTGCATATATCCAGCTTTTACTGTATCTAAGAATCCGTGACTCACCTGTAGACACCATAGTGTTTTCCACTGGCACGGTCACCGCAGATGGAGCAGAGGTGTTTGCTTCCGGAAAGAGGGTGATTCGGCGGGTAGGGTGCTACTGCTTTGTTCTGCCCGCTCGGCGACGTGCTGAGGAGGTTGCTGTGACAACCAGCGTTGAAGGATCTTACATGCAAATAAGAGAATAACAAAAAAACTCGACCTACGACACTACCGCCTTGGATCGAGCAAAATACCATTCTCTCTTACGACTCGATGATATATATCTACAATTATAAAAATAAATAGAGTATTTTGCTCAATTTATATCCAAGGGCTCGGCTACGCTACATAGTATACCCTCGATTTGCGACGTGTTTCGTTGTGATACCATTTTCTTGATATCCCTCGAACTCAGTGAATCGTGTATCAGTGAAATACTCTGTTTCAATAACACATTGCTCTTCCATTTCATTCTTTTTTTTTTTATATATTCGGCCACTTACCCTGGACTATTAGGACCGGAAGGGCTAAAGTTTCCCGCATTGATGAGGCTCGCCGTGTCCGGCTTCATGTCCAGAGGACTCTGCGGGCCCACAGAAGACATGGACATATTGCTGTTGTCCAGGCTCAGCCCTGGAACAAACAAAATTTCCTTCGGTTAGAACAGGGATGGACAATTGTTTTAGCTGGAGGGGCTCACTTTGTGGAAGAAGGGCCGCACCTTTTAAAATGATCCCATTCATTAGTTAACTTTGCATTTCAGAAAGGTATAAATTGTACCATAAAAATCAATAAATATAAATTCAATAAAATAGTGGCAGTTTTATTCAATTTATTTAAATACGAGAAGAATCTTGGGAAGAAAATAGCGGATTTTTCTAACTCTCTTGGAGGGCTACAAAAATTCTCTTAGCGGGCCGCTATTTGTTCACCTCTGGGCTAGGTCGGTAATTTTCCACATTATAAAGGCAAATATCTCGAAAACTGTGCGAAATATGGCAAAATGTTAAGACACCTTTTTTGTAAAAAATGAAATTTCCAATTATTTATGTTCTATGACATTTTTTGATCAGCTGCGTAGTTTTCGAGATATATCAAATTTCTTTAAAAGAGTCAGCTGGAGATTAATTGAATTTATTTTCTAGAATATAATTCGAAGAACGATCCTGTAACGCGATGCAAACAAGTAACCGCCTATTTTAAGTAACTGCCGCTGATCGATATGCACGCGATTCAGACGCAACAAAGGCGTTACACAGTACGCGAGGCTGTAAAAACTCGGTTCACTGGGTTAATCGGTGTGCAGAGTGTTTAAAATGCATGTCCTTAAAAGGTTACGCGATAGAAACGTAGGCTGACGATGATGATATCGAGCGTTCATCAGCGAGTCTTTCCGCGGAAAATATAATTACGCCGAGGTCGTAACTCCGTTCGCTTGCGACTTCTATTTCGAGTTGTTAGGGTCGCCGATTGCGTGCCTCTCATCACCGCGTCGTTTATTAAGCGTCGAGCTGACGCTTTAATTACGCAACGCGAGCGTGCAAAGCGGACCGAAGGTCGTCGACAGGCTCGGTGAAACACGGTTCGACGAATGAAAGCTCTTGCGCATCTGCTGCGACACGAATTAGCGGGGATAAACATTCTTCTCGAAAATTTCATTCGCAATAATAATAATAATATTTAAATTTTATTTAAAAGAGATCAGGAGTGACGTTGGATGAGAGCGACGATCGAAGAACTTTGCTCGAGCGTCGACCGAGTTATGGACGCGGCTTTAACCGTATCAAAGAGGGCAGGAGACGACGGGACGAGGACACGAGAGTGGCTGCAAGGCCAAGTCCGATGACGGTATATTATAGCGGCAGTGTCGGGCACCTTGACCAGACGCAAACACGCCGGTGCAATGCTCGAAACAATTTCCACTTAGCTGTAGCAGAGCGCTCGTTACACGTCTCACCCTTTCGTTACCAAAGATGACTGGGGCGGATTCGAAGTGGGACTTAAATCTCTCCTGGCTTACCGAGAATTTTCCAAAATCAACGCTGCTAGTAAAATTCTATACCGAAGAAAACTCTGACTCGAAGTCTGAGTTCCAATTGATAAAGCCTTAATCGAACAATATTTTATATGCTCGAATAGAAGAATAAACCGCGCAGGAAGATTGAGAATGGGACTTAAATCTCTCCTGGCTCACCGAGAATTTTCCAAAATCAACGCTGCTCTTAAAATTCTATACCGAAGAAAACTCTGACTCGAAGTCTGAGTTCCAATTGATAAAGCCTTAATCGAACAATATTTTATATGCTCGAATAAAAGAATAAACCGCGAAAGAAGATTGGGAATGGGACTTAAATCTCTCCTGGCTCACCGAGAATTTTCCAAGATCAACGCTGCTCTTAAAATTCTACACTAGGGATGTGCGGGTACCCGATATTACGGACTCGGGTGAGCTCGGAAAAGATCGGGCGGACTCGGGCGAGCGTCCGATACATGCGTGCCGTCGGGTGGCCCGACTATTTCGGGTTCGGTCGGGTACAGTCGGGCTGGTTCGGTCGAGCTCCCGCGGGCCGCGGCCCAACTCTCGTGTACTTGTTAATACTTGCAATAAGCATGTGCAAAATCTGTTTTATATGGAATTTTGGAATAAGATAATTTGGAAGCTCGTCCGAATCTGCCCGACTGTACCCGACCGAACCCGAAATAGTCGGGCTATCCGACTGCACGCATGTATCGGACGCCCGCCCGAGCCCGCCCGATTTTTTCCGAACCGACCCGACTAGTCGGGCCGCACATCACTATTCTATACCGAGGAAAACTCGAAGTCTGAGTTCCAATTGGTAAAGCCTTAATCGAACAATATTTCATATGTTCTAATAGAAGAATAAACCGCGCAGGAAGATTGAGAATGGGACTTAAATTTCTCCTGTCTCACCGAGAATTTTCCAAAATCAACGCTGCTCTTAAAATTCTATACCAAATAAAACTCTGACTCGAAGTCAGAGTTCCAATTGATAAAGCCTTAATCGAATACGCGTATTCCATATGCTCGAATAAAAGAGAATAAACCGCGCAAAAAGATATGAAGGAAAAGAAAGCGACGAGGAGGTGGCAGAGTGAAAGGAGAAGAGGAAAGTGACCTACACCAACAATGAGTCAAGTGCGTTGACTCTTGAATATTTAAAACATATATTCGCCTTTAAAGGTGAACCGACCGAGAGAATCGAGCGCGAAAGAAGCTGCTTCGAATGGCGAAACGATTGGAAACCTGATTTTCAAGGGCAGAAGCAAACGTGAAATTGGGAATGGTCATGTCTTACCAGAAGAGAGAGTAGTATCGATCATTCTCCCCTTCCTTTGACCATCAGCGAATTCTGCAGCAGAATTCTATACTTCTCTGCTAGGGGTGCGATGCTCGGGGATGCGTTATTGCGTTTCGGGGACGGATAATGCACGAGGGGGATGAAAGCGTTGCTGGGATACCCGTGTAAATTTGAAGAATAAAAATAAAAATTAAATACAATGAAATTTGGATTTATTTTTTCAAGCCCTAAAATTAATTTTAAATTAATTTTCCTTCATCTGCGAAGGGTAAATTATTATACCATAAATAGGAGTGGAGATAGAATATAGATACTTCTCCTTCCCCACTCGGGAAACTATAATTAGTTTGGTCTAATCTTGAGTTTCGTTTCACGCGAAGAACATTTCCTCCGTCTACAATGTGTCTTTCAGTGTCGACACGCGTGGCATTAGAGGAACATCTGCGAGGCAAAGGGATGTGTTTTCGGCGAATTTTTCGCGAATGAAAGCCGAGAGAGAAGAAGAATGACAGAAGCGAGGGATGAAATATCGTGGATACAGATGAGAGATGAGAGATCAGGGCTGATGGAACGACAAAAGGGAACCAGTGGCGTTATTAAAAAGAAGTATAATAGGCAGTGTCACGTTTCGCGACTGCTATTAATAATAAATATTACTGCTTCGTCCTGTACACAGAGTAATTCACTGATTTATCGATTACAAACCTAACACGTTCTGTATGGTAAATATTTGAAAATTAAATAGCTCGAAAAATGATTTCATGTTCATTCAAATTCGAGAATCCGAAGTCGAATGCTGTTGCGAGAGCGCGGAACAATAATTATTAACGCCTGAACGCGATGCGTTATTGCGAAACTATCCTCGAACCATGAAGGAAGATGAATATTTATGTTCCGAGAAGCGTCGGGAAGCCTTGAGAACGGCAATAAACCGTTTCGCTGCACCGTTTCGTTGCATTCCACGTTTGCGGGATGGAAACTCGAAGAAAAGCCAGGCACACTGAACTTAGAACGCGATATACTATCCCAGAAATACGAGTAACGCATTCTACGCTGCTCCAAATTTAAGATTTCCCATTTTTGTCCGCAATTTTTCCTAACCCTTTCCATTTCGAGTACCAGCTGCACTATGCTATGAAATCTATTATTTCGCAATTTTATATTCCCAAATTTTTATACCCTAGAAAATCCCCAATCAACAAATAGTAATTAACATAATTAACATAACTGCAATTTTTCTTAACCCTTTGCACTTGGAGTATCAGCTGCACTATGCTATGAAATCTATTATTTCGCAATTTTATATTCCCAAATTTTTATACCCGTCTAGAAAATCCCCAATCAACAAATAGTAATTAACATAATTAACATAACTGCAATTTTTCTTAACCCTTTGCACTTGGAGTATCAGCTGCACTATGCTATGAAATCTATTATTTTGCAATTTTATATTCCCAAGTTTTTATACTCCAGAAAATTACTAATCGATAAATAGTAATTAACATAATTAACATAACTGCAATTCTTCTTAACCCTTTGCACTTGGAGTATCAGCTGCACTATGCAACTATGTACTGGACTATGAAATCTATTATTTTCCAATTTTATATTCCCAAATTTTTATACTCTAGAAAATTACCAATCGGCGAATAGTAATTAACATAAGTAGATAGAAATACAGTACGATTTTCTAAAGGCAAATTCAAATGAGCAATGCAAAACCTGGCGTTCGTCGGTCAACGCTAACTTTAGATCCGTGTAAACGGACGTATAAGTGCTGAATTAAGCAAATAATTCGACACACACGGTACACGTTACATATATCTCGCTTCTTTTATCCCGTTTCAAACGATGATCAGCATTTTCGACGGAGGATATCCTTTACATCCTCTGTCTGCTCTTTCGCGTGCTAATCCACTTATCATTTATACGTCTAAACCAAACAATCCTTTTCACGCTTATTTTATTTGCGCCATTAGTAAGGCGTGAAATTGAATGTCGCATAAATTACTTAAGATCTCCTAAGTCTCGTGAGTACAAGATGGACCTTATCTAACACAAATGTCATTTTTCTATCATTATTTAGCAACTATATTTGCACGTTAAGACGATGACGTCACTGTCTGACAATTTCAACGCTCTTCCGAAACTGAAAACCAGTTTCCGCAGCAGAGCTCATCTGCGGCCGCCTTGGGCGCATCGAGGATGCTGCTATCTCTCCAGTGTAGCTGTGAATCTGCTATTCAGATCTCTGATTCTGAAGCCTAGTTTACATTGGTGCAATGGTACACGGTATGAAACGCGATAAGGAAA